CTCCAAATTTGGTATCTCAAAAAATTAGAATATTCTGAAAAGGCTGAATATAGAAGACACCTGCTGCCACTCTAATCAGCTGATTTACTCAAAACACCTGCAAAGGCCTTTAAAAGGTCCCTCAGTCTTGTTTTGAAGGCACCACAATCATGGGGAAGACTTCTGACTTAACAGCTGTCCAAAAGACAATCATTGACACCTTGCACAAGGAGGGCAAGACACAAAAGGTGATTGCTAAAGAAGCTGGCTGTTCGCAGAGCTCTGTGTCCAAGCACATTAACAGACAGGCGAAGGGACGGAAAAAATGTGGTAGAAAAAAGTGTACAAGCTCTAGGGATAACCGCACCCTGCAGAGAATTGTGACGACAAACCCATTCAAAAATGTGGGGGAGATCCACAAAGAGTGGACTGCAGCTGGAGTCAGCGCTTCAAGAACCACCACGAGGAGACTCATGAAAGACATGGGATTCAGGTGTCGCATTCCGTGTGTCAAGCCACTCTTGAACAAGAAACAGCGCAAGAAGCGTCTCGCCTGGGCCAAGGACAAAAAGGACTGGACTGATGCTGAGTGGTCCAAAGTTATGTTTTCTGATGAAAGCAAGTTCTGCATTTCCTTTGGAAATCAAGGACCCAGAGTCTGGAGGAAGAGCGGAGAAGCACAGAATCCACGTTGCATGAGGTCCAGTGTAAAGTTTCCACCGTCAGTGATGGTGTGGGGTGCCATGTCATCTGCCGGTGTTGGCCCACTCTGTTTCCTGAGGTCCAGGGTCAATGCAGCCGTCTACCAGGAGGTTTTAGAGCACTTCATGCTTCCTGCTGCTGACCAACTTTATGGGGATGCAGACTTCACCTTTCAACAGGACTTGGCACCTGCACACAGTGCCAAAACCACCAGCACCTGGTTCAAGGACCATGGTATCCCTGTCCTTGATTGGCCAGCAAACTCGCCTGACCTTAACCCCATAGAAAATCTATGGGGTATTGTGAAGCGGAGGATGCAATACGCTAGACCCAACAATGCAGAGGAGCTGAAGACGACTATCAGAGCAACCTGGGCTCTCATAACACCTGAGCAGTGCCACAGACTGATCGAGTCCATGCCACGCCGCATTACTGCAGTTATTGAGGCAAAAGGAGCCCCGACTAAGTATTGAGTGCTATACATGCACATTCTTTTCATGTTCATTCTTTTCAGTTGGCCAACATTAGAGAAACAAACATTTTTTCATTGGCCTTTAGAATAGTCTAATTTTCTGAGATACCAGATTTGATGTTTTCATTGGTTGTCACCTATAAATATCGAAATTAAACGTAATAAACATCGGAAATACATTGGTCTGTGTGCATTGCATGAATATAATGTACAAGTTTCACGTTTTGAATGGAATTACTGAAATATTTTCAACCTTTTGATGATATTCTAATTTACTGGCCAGCACCTGTATTTGCTCTATTACAGCTGAAATGACAGTGTATTTATCTACTTATCAACATCCTCACTTGTCCACGAGTCTTCTGGTGCTGATCTGTAAAGGCAACAGCCATGAAACTTGTGGAACGGGAGTGCAAGAGCATGTTATTGTTTAGAAAAATGGACTGCAGTACTCACATTTGACCACAAGATGTCTGTCTTACAAATTGCACATTTGAGTTATAGCAAATATTCTATCCAAATCTTTTAAATTAAGACCCTGTGCTTTAGTCAAACTCCAGAGCAGTTTGTTTGTATTGTGAATGTGATCAGTTAAAAGGACCATGCCAGCGCTGCAGGTTGGAGCCTTCCTATTCCCAGGTTTGTGTTGCATTCTGGGGTGAGAGGACATACAAATTCAGTAGCTCATAGATAGCTGAAAAGATAGCAAAGGCTTACCGTAAATCCTCTAATACAGGCCCGGGCCTGTATTTTACTCAAGCCTTTATTGGAAGCAGGGCCAGAATTAGAGGCAGGCCTCAATTTCTATTTGAGTAAAATGAACTAGGCTACCAGTAGAATGAATAAAAACGGGGTGTGTCTATTTGAACCTATAAAATTGGACCAATTCTTTTTACTATATATATGTTCCCAATTGGTAAAATCATTAGACAGCATGGGATAAACTTCCACTGTTATGCTGACGATACTCAGTTATATTTATCCATTAACCCTGATGAACCTAATCGGTTGGGTAGATTACAGGCTTGTCTTGAGGACATAAAAAATTGGATGACCCTAAACTTTTTGCTTTTAAATCAAGACAAGACGGAAGTTCTCATCTTTGGACCAGAAATCCAGAAAAGGAAATTGCTTAGCCAATCGCCTGACCTTAATGGCATTACATTAATCTCCGAGAACAAAGCAAGGAACCTTGGTGTTATCTTTGACCAGGACATGTCATTCAAATCCCAGGTTTCACAAGTTTGTAGGATTTCCTTTTTCCACCTTCGGAATTTTGCTAAGATTAGAAGCATACTTTCCAGGAGTGATGCTGAAAAACTAGTTCATGCATTTATTACATCAAGACTGGATTACTGTAATACATTACTCTCAGGAAGTCCACAGAATGTAGTTAAAAGTCTTCAGCTTGTCCAAAATGCTGCAGCTAGAGTTCTGATGAGAATTAAAAAGAGAGATCATATCTCTCCTGTCTTAGCTTCCCTACATTGGCTACCTGTTAAATTCAGAATAGATTTTAAGATCCTTCTTCTCACATATAAAGCTCTTAAAAATCAAGGTCCATCATACATCAGTGATCTGATTGTTCCATATGTTCCTAACCGAGCACTTCGCTCTCAGACTGCAGGTCTACTGGTGGTTCCAAGAATATCTAAACTTAGGATGGGAGGCAGATCTTTTAGTTATCAGGCTCCTCTCCTGTGGAACCATCTCCCAGCTTTAGTCCGTGAGGCAGACACCTTGTCTACTTTTAAGACAGTGCTTAAAACATTTTTATTTGATAGGACCTATGGTTAAAATCTGATGTTAGCCTAGATCTGGACAAGTGGGGGATTACAGGGAGGTGGAGTGTACAGTCGGTAAAGACGGCTCTCCCTTGCCCTGCCTCCAACATGCCTCCATCTAAATAGGATAGATTATCCAGAGTTATCTCTGTAGTTATGCTGCTATAGGCTTAGACTGCTGGAGGACACACTGACCACTTTTCACACTCTACTGCTTTCTTCTACAATCTGCTCTTTAACTGTACTATTTTGTGCTATTTCAGCTGTTAACTTTATTTTCTCTGTAAGTGTTTTTCTCCCCAGAAGAAGCTACAACGACGTTCTGCTGAGCTGTGGTGGCCTCATGGAGGGGGCCATCGACTAGCACACTGCTGCTAACCACTAAAACATTCTCTCTCTCCTGATAATAACTTTTTGTTTTTGACTTTTGATGTGCTAATACTAGTTTATCCGTTTAATTATAGACCCACTAGGATAAATACAATAAAGTTTATCTTTCACCAAATACAATATTTACTAAGACATCACAATATAACTATAGACACATTACTTGTCTGTGTGTGTGTGTGTGTGTGTGTGTGTGTGTGTGTGTGTGTGTGTGTGTGTGTGTGTGTGTGTGTGTGTGTGTGTGTGTGTGTGTGTGTGTGTGTGTGTGTGTGTGTGTGTGTGTGTGTGTGTGTGTGTGTGTGTGTGTGTGTGTGTGTGCGTGCGCGCGTGTGTCTGCTCTGTCTTCTCGATCCCCAGTGAGTCGTGGAGGATGGCTGCTTATACTGAGCCAGGATTCTCTGGAGGTTTCTTCCTGTTAAAAGGGAGTTTTCCTCTCCACTGTCGCTGCATGCTTGCTTAGTATGAGGATTGCTGTATAGTCACTGACACTAGTCAGTGACTTGATGCAATTTGCTGGGTTCCTTAAATAGGAAACATTATTTCAGATTGGCTTAATGAACTGTGAATTGGAATGTTTATTATGTGAAGTGCCTTGAGACGACTCTTGTCGTGATTTGGCGCTATATAAATAAACTTGAATTGAATTGAATTAAAATACTAGGTTCATTTATTGAAAATGTACAGTTACCATAACGTGGTACGGTTTGCATATAAAACATTAACAACACGGCTAAATTACAGTAGGGAAATACTGTATTGTAACAAAACAATAGCAAACATACCTGTACTGCATTTAAACGTTATTAAATACCGGTATTAGAAAAGGCAACAGCCACCTTACCGCTTCAAAGTTGAATCGTTTCGTCTCGTTTGGGTTGTAGTAAAAAAAAATACATAAAAACCCTCAAATTCAATTCAATCTTTGTCCAGTTTAAAGTAAAAAAATAAAATACCGGTAATCCAATTCAGTTTAATCCTCATCCAGTTTGATGGGTCGATGTTAAAACGTTTAGCAGCTTGCTCCCCAGAGTGTTATGCAGCATAATCAGCACGTTCTCTTTGAACTTGATATCAAATTTTCGCCTCCTCTTCGGCTCCGCACCTGCCGTGGATAAAGTTACCCTCGTGGTCTGTCACTGAAAAATCAAAAGTGAGACAGGTGACACAACCGCCCACCTGTGGTACTTGCTTGTTACCACATTCCACCCGGTCACAATAAAAAAAAGACCATTATTCACCTCCGCCGACTCCGACACTGGCCAAAATGTGATACCCGGCCGTTAATTGAATACAGGCCAATATTAGAGGATTTACGGTATGTGGAAGATCAACAAGCTCTGGTTTAGAATTTTTTTTTGTAAATTCACTGAGGGTTTGTGGTTCTTTTCACCATAAACTTATAGAGCAACAAACCTGACAATTTAAATACAACTGTTTTCATTTAAAATTTGTTTTTATTTACTGTTTCTTTTTTTGTTAACCTTCTCTTTAGTAGAAGTGTGAACATGAATGTGCAGTACTGTCTGTAATACGGTATGGTTTGAACTCCCCCTGAGCAAACTAGTCATCTGTGTTCCAATATGCATCTAGGTAGCATCGCTGTCTAACTTTGTCTCCTGCATTGCCATGGCTACTATCCTTCTATGAACCAAACAATAATTTAGTTGTGTCTTCAGATGGAATCCCTCGCTCAGTGCTGAAGGACTGGAGGAAGGTGAGAAAGCTGAAACAGACTGGGGAGTCCTTCTTGCAGGATGACTCATGTTCAGAAATTGGACCCAACCTGCAGAAATGTCGGGAATGCCGAGTGGTCCGCAGCAAAAAAGGCGAAGAGCCTGCACATTCCCCCGTCTTCTGTCGCTTCTACTATTTCAGACGGTAAAACTCTGGCTCTGCTCTTCTCTTTACATCCTACAGTAGAGTTTACCTGGAACCGTCTGTCCTTTGTCTAGGCTCTCATACAGTAAAAACGGAGTCATCCGGATAGACGGATTTTCCACCCCAGAGCAGTTTGATGAGGAGGCCCTGGCCCTGTGGCTGCCTGGCTCTGTGGAGGAAAGCCAGCTGGACCAAAACATGGCCAAATACATTCTCACTTTCATTGGGGACAAGTTCTGTCAGATGGTGATGACTGAAAGCACCGCTTCCAGCTGGATCAAGAAGGACGGTGAGTTTTCTGTATGAACCTGTTGGCTTTGAAGTCTGAAGGTCTGTGACTGTGAGCCTTTGCAGTTCTTACTTGGAGAACAAATACCCAGTTTGAACACCTTTACCTTAACTTGGCTTCAATTGCAGCAGACTCAAATCGTGTTTCTTTCCTTGTGTGTTGGAAATGAGACACCTAAACCTTTTGTCACTTAAAGCTTTGCCTTGCTATCAGAGCCAGCTCTTCCCAGGTGTGACCTAGCTGCCTAAAGAAATGAGTTAATGAAGCTCTGCTGGCTTTGGGCATGTCTTCAGACTGTATTATGTTGTTTCTTACAGCCAAGCTAGCATGGAAGCGAGCAGTGAGGGGGGTCAGGGAGATGTGTGATGCATGTGAAGCAACGCTCTTCAACATCCACTGGGTCTGCCAGAAATGTGGGTTTGTGGTCTGCTTGGACTGCTACAAAGCAAAAGAGAAGAGAAGCTCAAAAGGTGTGTGTGTGTGTGTTTTTTATGGAACCCTGACTGGAGCGGCTGGTACTGACGAAAACGTGTGTTTGACTCATCTTTCCTTGTTAAGAAAAAGAACTATACGGATGGTTGAAGTGTGTTAAAGGACAACTTCATGACCACAAGCACCTCATGCCGACACAGATCATCCCTGGTAAAGGTACAGTTCACACAAGAACCACCATCCACGCTCTGTTTCCACTCTGGGTATTGTAGTTCTGAGAATCCGCTGTAGACTAGCTGTAATCATCTTTTTATAAATCAATTTCCCTCTGGGATTAATAAAGTATTTTTGAATTGAATTTGAATTGAATTGAGTATCAGTTTCTTGTAATGTCAGGACCCTTGTCCGTTTAAGGACCAACAGAAAAATCACATCCAGACGGCAAATGCATTCTGATTGTTTAGTTGTTGAAACTTTTAATTGGGTAGAATATTTAGTATTTTATTTTTTCAGTTCTGATGGAGTTGGTGAGCTCCATGCACTCCCTGAGAGACAAGTACGACATCAGATCTCATTGTTCCTGCGCCAACAAACAGAATGTCCTCAGCAAGCTGCCGATGACCAATAGCGTCTCTCAGGTAACGGCCTTTGTCACCCTCCAGTTCATCAGATACTTTTTAGCATTGGCTGCTGTAGTGTTTTATGTGTTACTACATATTATTAAATGATCAATAAGATGTGATATTCCACATAAATATAAATTATCAATCTGATTGGTCTTTGAATATTTGAATTAATATTACCGAAGGTTCTTTGGACTATTCAGAGAACACGCACTACTCAGACAGAGTCAAGGATGTAGTTTATAAAAATCAATTTAATTCTATCCTTCTAAACTATTATTGATGACAAAATATGAATGTAATGATGGAATGTAAGCCAGATGTTTGTAGCAAAATGTTGTTAAGTATCTGAGAGATCTTGTGATGTCTGGGTCGTAAAACCAGTGTGGCTGTATGGTTTAATAAGCTAGAGATTATTCATAAAACCATCTGGCACCATAGTGCAAGTCTACAATGCTCATGTTGGAAGCTCTGGGTGGTCCAGAGGAGAGGCAGCCAGAGTGGTGAGTTCACCGGATGTTGTGGCTACTGGAATCTCGAAGAGTCATAGCTCCATTTGAATTCCGATATCACCGGCCACGAGCTGCAACCAGGGTCTGCAATTTAGACGTTTCATGTCTGAGGTGTTGTACCGTCTGAAATCACTCGCAAGCGTTACGCAGCGGCTCTGACCTTGAGGTCAAAAGAGAGGATGGTTCCAAGTGCTTGCTCACTCAGTTGGCCTACCAAGTAAGCTGGCGAAGAACTGGTTAGATCAGGAAGTGATCTCTATTTTATTGACTGATGTTGATAAATGTACGTTTAAAAGGCGTTACCAAAAATACTTCAGAAGATCCCTCCTTCCCTCAGAGACCTGGAGGTTATTCTTAGTGTGAAGTAACAATGTTATAACAGTTATGTGGAGCAAAAATGTCAAACATTAACACTTAACATTATGATGTTATTGTATTCATACTGATAGATTAAATTATTAAGTCAACAATTACTGATCTGGTTTAATTTAAGATCTGAAATAAATCATTACAGGTAAAATATTCATTTTAACCCATCATTCATTAATGTCAAGTATAGAACGCATTATTCAAACACTTTGGACTGAAACATATTAATTCAACCATAGGCGTCATTTTAACCGGGGACACCGGGGACATGTCCCCGGCAAAATTTGTGATTGGAAGCTGTGTCCCCCCCACTTTCAAAAATGCCTGCCGATGAGGATTTTTGTTTTACCAGCTCATATCTTATACCAGGGGTTGGCAACCTATTCCCATCAAAGAGCCATTATTACCCGTTTCCCACAGTAATTCTGGATGGACCTTAATAAGCAGTGACTTAAGTGAAACAGGCAGGTCGCGCTAGAAAACTTAGTTTAAAAAGACGTCATAAATGTGTTCCCCCGTCATTTTAATTTATAAAATATGAAGTAAAAACTCACAATTTAATTTTCATTCATTTGTCATTAATATTTAGTCTACACCCGTGCGTTAAGTGGACCATCTTCCAGTAAACGCAAAGCATCCAGTCCACCTCTCCAAATGCGTAAAATGTGCATCAGCCGCTAGTTAGGCGCGCCATCAGCTGATCAGCCCAGACAAGAGCAGAGCAAATAGAGAAAGAATAGAGGATGATTCTGTCTGGATGTGGATGGAGATTACATTTTACAGCAGCCTGATCATCATTTAAATACGTAAACTATCACCTGGCTTCCAGTCCATGCTATCAGCATTATTTTAATTGGTGTGTGTGTGTGTGTGTGTGTGTGTGTTTTCCACTTCAAACACTGGTCTAACCAACCAGACCAGCGTGTCCAGTAACATATTAATGTTACAATTAAACAGTTTGACTTCATGTAGGCTAGGAACATTCCATCTGCCGTGGCCCGACCGCTTCTGCTCCACATAAACTTTGTGCGTGATCAAATGTCTCTACGCGTCATGCGTCTCCATATTAGAGACGGGAACAAGCGCTGTTCAGCCAAAGTTTCATAATTTCATAAAAAGAACATTTTTCCAAGTGACACATCCCTCAGAGAGACCGGGTTTCCAGAACGCTTCAGTGGGAGGAAATCTTATCGCATTTATCCGTCAATATGTGGCAAGGTGGAAAAACGAGGGCCCGGGCGTGATTTGATCCCCAGACTCCCGGGTGAGAGTCATACCCTCTAACCAGTCAGCCAAAGGGACATCCCCTTGGCCAAGTAGCCAGGGCGCATTATCGGGACACTGTGACAGGACACTCACACTGCCACACCTGATTATGAAACTTTGGCTGAATAGTGCTTGTTCCTGTCTCCAATGTGGCGACGCATCCAGGAACCTGTCTGAGGAGAAGCCCAGAATCTGACATCCTCCAGCTCAGAAGCGCCGATATGATTACGCACAAGCGTGACGCGTCAACCCGGTCTCACAGTAAGACCGGGTTGGACCTGTTCAGGTTTACGCAGACAATCTTTACATTTAGAATTGGCATACAGATGTAAAATTAATGCAGTAACATATAAAGCATTTTATTTAAACATCCATTCATTATTTTAAGAGCACAGAGAGCGCATCAGATGGATGGAAGAGCCGCATGCGGCTCCAGAGCCGCCGACCCCTTTGCTAGCCTACTTTATTGTCCCCAGCAATTTTTAAACCCCACTCAAGTGTATGGTTATTGTCCCCAGCAATTCTGGAAACAAACTGACGCCCTTGAATTCAACAAAATATGATTATATGAAGTTTAAAGTCATTTTTGAGAGCCGTGGAAGACAGACTTTATTCAAATAGGATAGATAAAAGTCCTGCGTCTTGCAGCCTTGAGGACTCATGACGTACGCACGCTTGGTTAAGAATATAGGGAGCCTAAGTCACTTCCGCATCACGGGTCTCCGGAAGAACAAAAAAACGAACGCAAGTCAACGGGGCTAAAAACACTATTTTCTAATTCCGCTTGTTTTGTGCCATGGATTTCACGTATGATGCCGTGACTTTTAAAGGCACATTTTGATACCAAGAACGCGCTTATTTTCGAACAGGGGGAACAATATTTTAGGTTGTGTGTGAAAATAAGTCCAGGACTACGAATGCGCATCACAAAAGTGACGTCATTGAAGCAGACACGGAGAAAACTGAGGGAAAAGGGCTGTAATTTCTGCAAACTTCCCACAGGAGGAAAGAGCCACCATAAATCTGGTCATGTGGTAAGTAGCAGCTAGGCTAGGGGAGAGGAGATTCTGAGGTGACGTCACAAATGCAACATGCCGATTTCTAGTTAGCAGTCATGCTAATTACGAACTTTTACACGCTGATAAATCTCAAAGTACGTGACTGGCGTGGTCGAAACACCCATCATTACCTTTAATTTAAATTGCAGTACAACATATGTGTGATCCAGGGCGTAAGGCAAAGCGGGTTAGAAAATAGCGTTTTTAGCCCCGTTTGACTTGCATTAATTTTTTCATTCTTCCGGTGACCCGTGATGCAGAAGTGACTCACGCTCCCTATAGGCTCAAGTTAATTTCTTCATATGGGCACAACGGTGTCAGATTGACCTGTATGAAGAAGTTTGGCCTGTAAGTTCAAACTTAACTTCTGGTCATTTTTGGTGAAATACTTGGCCATTCAGTACACGACACCACTCCTGATTCAAGACTTCCTCTAGCCTTTGGTTCTGTTTAGACCAGGTTCTAACACCCTGAGTTCATGTCTAAACTGCATCGTGATTCTGGCTGCTGATTGGCGAGGGGGCAGAGTCACTGGTTGCTCTGGAGTTTTTGGCCTTGTGTTTCACTGTCTGCAGCCATTTCCTGGTTCAGGGTCTGACAAAAAGCCATAAAACTGAGCAAAATGTCCAGCAACACCACCATTTTTTAGCTGAGTTGTTTCTGTAGAGCATACAGGTAACGTTACACTGCTTACTGATCTCCTGTTTGTTTTGCCATGAGTAAAAATCATGCACCCTGCGACTGCCTCCACACCCCTCCCCCCGCACCAGTGACGGGCGCACACATTTTCTGTTATGGCGCTGGCAAGGGATCAAAACTATACTCTGATGGGCTGACTCAGACCACACTGTGCAGAGCTGTTTTAAGTTGTGTAGTGTTCCTGGAAAAACACCTTACGTAGTCTAATGCAGAATATAAACCTATAACTTCTTGTATGTGACACCGGTGTAGTACATTGAAATGCAAAAGCTTCAAGTTTAGCTCTTCTAATGTTCTCAGGCAGTTATTCTGCTACTTTACCATAAGTGTCTCACTCTTCTCCTTGGTTTGGTTATACTGTGTTTTATTTACTTACTGTTTAGAGTAAAATTTCTCCTCATTTCCACATTTTTGAACTCATGTATTGTTTCCATCTGCTAGGTTTTGCAGAATGTGCTAAACCACAGCAACAAGCTGTCACTGGTGAAGGCTGAGCCAGGCTCCGAGCCGAACCAGAGCCACGGTGGAGTCAAGACAGGAACCAATGGAGGAGGAGGTAACGGAGAAAGCAGTCCTGGAACTGAGGTGGAAAGGGTATCGGTCACCCCGCCAGAGTCTCCGTCTCCTCTCCACTTCCTGGCTGACCTTGCAGAGCAGAAATCCAGACAGGAAAAGAAAGGTCAGAAATGGGAATGTTCAGAAATCCATCCTCATCTCTGCGTCCACCGTCCATTCACTTCCCTTTAGGGCTGCAACAAACGATTATTTGGATAATCGATTAATCGGATGGGGTCTCGACACGATTAATCGATTAATCGGATTACATGGGGACATTGTTAAAAACTTCTAGGGAAACGTTATTTCTCTCCTTCCTTCACTTTATTAAACACAACATTATTAGAAAACAGTTCAATAGCAGAAAAACAACATGTCATCACCTAAATTGTCTTATAAGGTGTATAGACAGAGACCCTAAGCTACACCTATCTGTGACCTAAAATGCTTGGTCCAAGTTAAACAGCTTAAAGAGCAAGTCAACCCCTATCAGAGTCTAACTCCACTCCCACTTCATGTTTGAAAAATGAACACATGCTGTTGCCTGGCAGACCGAGAAGGCGGAGCCGCTAACAAATACACACACACTCAGGCTCACAACAGCATTGTGACATCATAATGTACCAGTTTACATCATAGCATACTTCTTAGCCAATAGTGGTGGCAGATTTAAATTAAAATACAGTGCAGAGTTTTTACCTGACAAAGGCACAACACTGCCAGTTTTAGGCAGAATATTTAAATTTGAACTAAGATGCACTGAAGTGCCAAATTATTGACGACACGTGTCTGCAGCACGATTAGACACTCGTTTATTTAGTTTATCAGCAAAAAAAATGTTTATTTGGGGGTGACTTGCTCTTTAAGGGGAATTCTCATATGTTTTGTTTGATCTCATCTGTAGACATTATAATTGGGGATGTCAAACAACTAATTTTTAAATGTAATTAAACATAGGCTGTGAATTAATCAAAATTAATCACTATTTCCAAAAATGACTGAAAAAATACCAAATAAAACAAAAGTAAATGAATGCCATCCTCCTTGCGATGATGCCCTGGGCAACTGCCATAAAGTCACATCAAGAAATGCTGCCGATCATTCCAATGATCCCAAATAGACTCACATTAGGCCACATGAAAGCAACTGAACCCAAAATATATTAACCAGTATATAACTGCACTCGCACAACACGCCTGCAGCGAGAGTTGGTACTTCTCCCTCCCTTTTAAAAGCGTTTTCGCTTCTGAGGACATTGTGATTGTAAAGCCACATGCTAGTAGCCTGGCCCCGGTGTAATAACCAGTTTCTGCGGGAATGTGACGGCGGAACTGGTGTTGTGCCATAAATCGACTCACTGCCAAAAAATGATTAGCTTAGTTTTTTCCAGTTCGGAAGTTGTTTTAAGTGTTGCTATTTGTCTTAAACGTTCACAATGAGGATATATTAATCCTTTTTGCAATATTTGCGATTGAAAGATGGTTTGTGGTAAGAACTGGCTTTCTTTATGTTACAGCCTTGATACTAAAAAATAAATAATGTAAAATGGCGCCCTGTATTGAATGTAAACGTTGTATAAATGTAAATAAACAATTCTCCAGCGATTTGATTTTTTCCCCTTCCTTTCTTCAGTGGCTAATCATTTTTTGGCAGCGAGTCGATTTATGGCACAACACCGGTTCGCAGCAGCGCGAGTCCCCCCCCACCCCCCCCCCCCACCCCCCCGCCTATCTAATAGCGTCGCGCTTACGATTTTATAGACTTTTTTTTTACGAGCTTAGGGCATGTCTAGCCTGTGTAATAATCCGGGGCTTGGGTGAATCACTTTTGAAAAGCTTTTAACTTACCCGGACACAGAGCTCTCTCCTTCCTCGCTGATTCGGCATGCTTGCTTTTAAGATGCTGCATCACCTAGTACTCCCGTGCCATGCTAAGTCTGACCTACAAACTTTGCAGGTAACTTATGTCTTCGCCTGATTTAACTGAAAATGCTCCCAAACTTTAGAAGTTTTTACTTTTTTGGGTCTCGCTGCTTCACCCGGCTCTCCATCGCGCTGATCTGACTTGCTTCCGGTCTGTGCGCAACGGCGGCCGGGGAGGGGGAGGGGGGCTTTTGGAAGAGTTGCACAACACAACGAATCGATGACACAATTCGTTGCCAACGCTTTTAGTAATCGATTTTCATCGAATTTATCGATTCATTGTTGCTTCCCTTTTACATTTTCTTTCCTTTCTCCTGACAGAAAACAAAGAAATTGCACTGCCAGGTAAGTCTGTGAAGGAGGAAGATGGGGACAGCCTGGAAGTCCTGCAACAGTGTAAGACCACCTCACTGGTGACCAACAGTTCAGAGCAGGGCTCAACCCTCCGAGATCTGCTCACCACCACAGCAGGGAAGCTCAAGCTGGGATCCACTGACGCAGGAATCGCCTTTGCTCCAGTCTATTCTACTGCTTCACAGGTGCACACACACACACCTACACACACACACACACACACACACACACACACACACCCCTGCTCATCAAGGCTTCATTCAGTTATCAGCTGAGTAATTCAGTAGAGATGCTTTTCAGTATGGAGTTTTGACACCCCCTCTTATGAATTAGCATACAGTTAAGCACTCAAACTATTATATTCCTGTTTTTCATTCTTTCTATATTATTATTATTATTCTTACTTACAGTTTTTTTTCCAAGCTTTCGCTGCTTGGACCTAATTATTATTTTTTTAAATCATAAAAATTAGGAAAAATACAAAACTGATTTTAAAAAATTTAAGGAAAGAGAAAATGAAAAAGAAAGAGGTCATCAGTGAATCCCACGAAAGGCGAACTTGGAAGAAAGAGCTGAATAAGGAGAGGGTAGAGAAGGTCACGCCAAAGCCAGCCTGAACACAAGAGTTTCAGCTGCTTTTTAAAGGAGAGCACTGAGTCCACTAATCTCAGGCTCACAGGGAGAGATTTCCAGAATATGGGGGCCACAGCAGTAAATGACCTTTGGTCTTTAGCCTGGTGCACTGCACGACTGGTAGGCTTTGATCACCTGACCTTAGGGACCTGCTGGGCGTGTAAGGTCACCAATGTAAACTGGTGTTTGTCCATGTAAACAAGCTTTTTCCCTCAAACTCTTCAACTTCACTCGTCATCACTCGGACTAAAAACAACTCAGACAGTTAAAAATTCACACCTCTGTTTATCAAACCCTTGCGATGCTCCAGATTTAATTTTTATTTTGATTGGACCAATTGTTCCACACTGTGAGTCTCAGAGTGACACTCACTTTCTCTTATCCACAGCTTTCCCCATTGATATGAATGCAGCTTTCTGCTCTAAAGCCTGATATACAGGTGCTGGCCAGTAAATTAGAATATCATCAAAAGGTTGAAAATATTTCAGTAATTCCATTCAAAACGTGAAACTTGTACATTATATTCATGCAATGCACACAGACCAATGTATTTCCAATGTTTATTACGTTTAATTTTGATATTTATAGGTGACAACCAATGAAAACATCAAATCTGGTATCTCAGAAAATTAGAATATTCTAAAGGCCAATGAAAAAATGTTTGTTTCTCTAATGTTGGCCAACTGAAAAGAATGAACATGAAAAGAATGTGCATGTATAGCACTCAATACTTAGTCGGGGCTCCTTTTGCCTCAATAACTGCAGTAATGCGGCGTGGCATGGACTCGATCAGTCTGTGGCACTGCTCAGGTGTTATGAGAGCCCAGGTTGCTCTGATAGTCGTCTTCAGCTCCTCTGCATTGTTGGGTCTAGCGTATTGCATCCTCCGCTTCACAATACCCCATAGATTTTCTATGGGGTTAAGGTCAGGCGAGTTTGCTGGCCAATCAAGGACAGGGATACCATGGTCCTTGAACCAGGTGCTGGTGGTTTTGGCACTGTGTGCAGGTGCCAAGTCCTGTTGAAAGGTGAAGTCTGCATCCCCATAAAGTTGGTCAGCAGCAGGAAGCATGAAGTGCTCTAAAACTTCCTGGTAGACGGCTGCATTGACCCTGGACCTCAGGAAACAGAGTGGGCCAACACCGGCAGATGACATGGCACCCCACACCATCACTGACGGTGGAAACTTTACACTGGACCTCATGCAACGTGGATTCTGTGCTTCTCCGCTCTTCCTCCAGACTCTGGGTCCTTGATTTCCAAAGGAAATGCAGAACTTGCTTTCATCAGAAAACATAACTTTGGACCACTCAGCATCAGTCCAGTCCTTTTTGTCCTTGGCCCAGGCGAGACGCTTCTTGCGCTGTTTCTTGTTCAAGAGTGGTTTGACACACGGAATGCGACACCTGAATCCCATGTCTTTCATGAGTCTCCTCGTGGTGGTTCTTGAAGCGCTGACTCCAGCTGCAGTCCACTCTTTGTGGATCTCCCCCACATTTTTGAATGGGTTTGTCGTCACAATTCTCTGCAGGGTGCGGTTATCCCTAGAGCTTGTACACTTTTTTCTACCACATTTTTTCCGTCCCTTCGCCTGTCTGTTAATGTGCTTGGACACAGAGCTCTGCGAACAGCCAGCTTCTTTAGCAATCACCTTTTGTGTCTTGCCCTCCTTGTGCAAGGTGTCAATGATTGTCTTTTGGACAGCTGTTAAGTCAGAAGTCTTCCCCATGATTGTGGTGCCTTCAAAACAAGACTGAGGGACCTTTTAAAGGCCTTTGCAGGTGTTTTGAGTAAATCAGCTGATTAGAGTGGCAGCAGGTGTCTTCTATATTCAGCCTTTTCAGAATATTCTAATTTTTTGAGATACCAAATTTGGAGTTTTCATTAGTTGTCACTTATGAATATCAAATTTAAATGTAATGAACATTGGAAATACATTGGTCTGTGTGCATTGCATGAATATAATGTACAAGTTTCACGTTTTGAATGGAATTACTGAAATATTTTCAACCTTTTGATGATATTCTAATTTACTGGCCAGCACCTGTATACCTCTCTGTCAGCTCCACAAGGAAGAGATGCGTACGTAGTGACGGAGACATTTTGCCTTCAAAATTCTCCGTCACCTGGGGATTGTTGCAAAGCAATATCGTGCCAGGACAACAGAGGGTGTAGGGCTTTTCTTTGATACCCTGCCACCAATACACTCATTATCCGGTCCATGATAATGTATCTATTATTGAGTTTATATTGTGTCTATAGGGAGCCTAAGTCACGCCCATCTACTTCTGGACCACGGGTCTCTGGAAGAATGAAAAAATGAATGCAAGTCAGCAGGGCAAAACACGCTATTTTCACATATGATGTCCGTGAATTGTAAAGACTAATTTTTATACCAAGAAAGCACTTATTTTCGAGCTAAGGCAAATGTTATTTTAGGTTTTGTGTGAAAATAAGTGCAGGACTACAAATGCGCTTCACAAAAGTGAAGTCATCGAACCAGACATGGAGAAAATCAGAGGGAAAACGGCTGTAAGTTCAGCAAACATGAAAGAACCACTGTAAATATGGGCATCTGGTAAGTAGCAGCTATGCTAGGGGAGAGGAGATTATGTGGTGACGTCACATATGTGATGTGCCGATGTCTGACTAGTAGTCATGCTAATTACAAACTTTTACAAGCTAATAAATCTCAAAGTACGTGACTGGCGTGGTTGAAAATCCTGTCATTACTTTTCATTTCAATTGCAGTACAACTAGGGTTGTCACGGTAACCGGTATAGCGGTAAACCCCGGTAAAAAAGTTGACAATAAAAATAACCGTCCAGTTTTTAAAAAACTAAATTATCTCGGTGGGTTTACCGTGGCCGCGGTTTCGGCGCGGTGACCCTTACCAGCCACCGTCGCTTCAGTTGAAGTTCCCACGGCGCGCACACGCACTTTTTAGTTTGCAACGGCACCAAAACTTTGAAGCTGAAATAATGGCCGAAGGAGGAGACGGCAGCGCCCAGGACATCCATCAGCCCTCAAAGAAGACTAAATCGGAAGTATGGGCATATTTTGGATTTCTGAAAAATGCTGAGGGACAGTTAATAGAAGACGGCTATCCCGTTTGCAGAACGTGCAGGAAACAAGTGTCTGCAGAAGGCAGCAACACTTCGAATCGAATGGCACATCTGCGTGACCATCACCCACGTCTCTACAGCCAGTGCAAGGTAAGTTAACATTAGCATTTTAGCTTAAATGCATGACGTGAGGACTTTTGGTTGAGGGAGAATGCAACGAGTCACTATATACTGCAGCCGCAGCGTCCTCTGCCAGCATTTAAACCGTGTCACGGACACCCTGTTGCTGGATGAAGCATCTTATTTGTTGATGATGAAGAGAAATATACAATTAGTTCCTTGTCATTGATTTGTTTACTTATTCAATGGATTTGATTACATAGTGTAGTAGTTATTTTAGTAATTTGTTTAAAGTGGCTATTTATTTTAAATACATATTTTTTAAGGTTGACTTGTACAGCGCTCAAGTCAAGTGTGGACTGGAGTTTTAGATTTTCATTTTGATGATGAAGAAAACAAGTATATGAGAAAACAAGTGGTGTTTCTTTGATTTGTTTACATATTGTTTATGTTTTGAATGTTTGGATTTGTATCATTTAAACCTGCACAGACTACTGTAACATGTTCCAGAAAAAGAAGCTATTTGTTCCTTTACTTGTGAAAAGTTGCACTTTTGCTAAGGCTTTGTGTTATTTTAGGTTTAATAAACACTGTTAAACCTTTTCAAAACTATTTCAGTTTGTGTTGAACAGGACTATCAATGCTTTCTGAACATATGCAACACCATTTAAAAAATACCGCGATAATACCGAAAACCGTGATAATTTTGGTCACAATAACCGTGAGGTTAAATTTTCATACCGTGACAACCCTAAGTACAACACGTGTGATCCAGGGCGTAAGGCAAAGCTGATTAGAGTATAGCGCTTTTAGCCCCGTTGACTTGCATTAATTTTTTCGTTCTTCTTCGAAACCCATGAGCCGACCGGAAGGGTCATTGGTTGGGTCCAATAAACACTGGTTGAGCACTAGGACCAAGCGGGAAACAACCGCTTGTGTTGAAGCCTGTTTCCCATTCGAACCATGCAAAAGCTCATTACTGGCTCTGCTGATACTTGCTAACATGTGATTGACATTCAGCTTATAGTGAAACGTGAACTATGAAACTCTTTCTGCTAATGGAGCTCTCTGATTGGTCAAAACTCCCTTCTATGTTTTAAATGATAGTTGCCCCACCGTAACCCTTTCCTCCGAGTTAAAACGGTGATTAAACAGAACATTTCTATGTAACCTTAATGCCCTTCAGAGCTGTTTGCTTTTCAAGCTTTAATTTCTGCATCAAGTTTCAAAAAGTTATTTGCTGCTAGTCAGAGTTCAGCTAATTGGAGCATTGAACTATTTGTAGTGAAATACCAGCTGACCAGTTTTGTTCACCATGTTCAGAGATTTCAGTTTTCTGCTGTTAAGGATTTTATTTTCCATTCTTCATCTACACTTTGATTTTTATTACACTTTTTATTGATTTCCACTTCTAAATCTTCAACTACATCCAGCTCATTTTTACGTTGTAGTTTAAGCATCAGTTCAGTGCTTAAGCAGCTTCAGCCATCATTTTCAGCATCCAGCAATCAAGCAGCATCTCTGCAAGAAAGACGAAATGCAATTTCTCTGCTTAAGGTTCACTTCTTACTCTTTTAGACTGAAAAACGCGGGAGAACCATGCCGAATATCCTTGATGACATCATCGCTTCAGTGGTGGAGAATAAAATCCCAGCCAGCCGTCAGAACATCACAGCCAAGCTGACAATCAAGCAAGATCATATCCTCCCTAATAATCCCCCCTCAGCCATCCCTGAGGACATCAAACTAGAGAGGAAGAGGTTGGCGCTCCCAGAGGACTCTATCCAGTATCCAGACATTCCCCACTGCTGGTTACACAACAGGAAGTTACTGTGGCTCAAAGATCACTGTAACCACGACAACTGGAAGCTGTTCAGAGAATGCTGGAGACAAGGACAGGTACACAGCCGGCTCGTCGGTTGTGCGTGCGTGCGTGTATTACTGAGGTGAAGCTTGGGCTGCTCGATTAATTGAGTTTTAATCAGAATTATGAACTTGGTTTTGAATGATTTCTAAAAACAAAATGAGTTTATCCTTGGGTCCCCCTTGCAGTTTACTCTTGCGCTTCCCCCAGTTGCATATTGAGCGCACCTCTTACACACTGTTGCCAGCTCAACATTTTCTAATCCTAACCCAACTTTTCAGTTGACTTTTGTTTTCCCGAAACAAAAAGCGACATTGTGAGTGGGACACGTATGAGTCGGTTTCCTGTAGACTTCAACGCTGAGACTTTCCTCCTGTTGCACAGTCAGTTGTTGCACAGGGTCATTTGTTGTAGTGGGCATCCTCCGTGGCGACCTTGATGCTCTTTTTGTCTGTGTTGATGCGCCTGGTGAAGCCGTCATCTTCCTGTATGAGAATTTAGACTCGTGTCATCCTCATACCTGAACTTTGTACAAATAGCACTTGAAAGCTTTACAGGAGCTAAAACCCCTGAAAGAAACCTGCTTTTTAGAACTTTTACCTGGAGCCCCCCTTCTGCAGTTAGAGAGGTGGGTTTGGCCATGTGGTGCTGCCTGTGTGCATTAGGACCATGTAGATGAGAACTTTGTGTGTTTATGGTCCTGCTTTGCCCTGAAATTGATCTGAATTTTGTAGAGAAAAGGGTAAATATTCCTCTTAATATTAAAATAAGGAATCTGAACAAATAATTTGAGTGATGTTTCATAGCCCTTTGACACCACTAGGGGTGTGTCTGAATCCAGGGGCAGGATGCTTACGAGTACGGGTCCTCGCTCAGACCGGAACCCAGCGGCTCTGAATTCGGACAGTCTAGCCTTCACCTCTACGGTGGCCCGTAGGTCCCGTCACAGCCGTGGCGACAGCTACACGCAAAAGAAAAATGCTAAAGCTAGCGAAAATGAGCAGGAATATTAAGGAGCTAGAGCAGCTTCACGTCCATCAGCAGCGTTTGTTCACATCCGTTTTCAGGTAAAGTAACTTTGTTTATTCTAGAAGCTTTCAGGACTTACATGTTAACTTTAGATGGTTTCATGTATGTTTTAAGCTACAGAATGAACTTGTTAAACGTACACAACACATTTCTACAGAGGATTATCATGTAGGTAAGTAATATAAACCAAATGCATTATAAATGTTGAATGCAGCAGGATGTTTTCTAATGTAAATTAGACCTTAGAACTTATTTTGCATCAAATGGGGGTAAAACGTTTTAAAAAACAGGCTTTTTAATAAAATAGCATTGAAGTGTTTTCGATGTGTATTTGTTTATTCAACTTAAGCCTAATAATGATTAGATCTGTCTTAAAAATGTAAATTCTCTGTAGTTTTCCCTGCTGCTTTTCTTTAAACTGAACAGAACCGGTGTACTGCAGGTTATAGGTTTGTTTTACATTTTTCTATAAAAAAAAACTTTTTTAAATCTATTACAGGTCAGCATGCACTGTGCTGCACATGCTCTTCCTGTTGAAAGTCCACATGAGAAGATAAAAATTATATTCTTCACACAAACTTTTTACTTCATTAAAACGTGTCAGCTGTGTAAATCCCTGAATGTAAAACTAGTTTTCACAGCAGAACTTCTGTGGTTGTGTGTAAACAGCTTCACTCGTCACCTCTAAGCGTAATAAAAACGCTCTGTTGTCCCTAAATCTAATGACAAGTTTAATTCGCCCCACACACACACACACACACACACACACACACACACACGGGAATAACTGGGACCCGTGAAACAAATTCGTTCTGGCTGATTTCTGCTTAAAATGTAATTTAAAAAACAAATAAACAAACGAAAAATGTCTGTAAACTGAACCGCTTTAAGCTTTTTAGGTTTCTACGGCTAGTTTTTAACAAACTTACGTTTAAAACTTCGTAGCTCTCCCCATTTTCTCTGCCTGTTGAAAATCCACAGCCGCGCAAAGCATGCTGGGATAGCCTTGTTCTGTGAGGATACAACAGACCCGTCCTCGAAATGTGGGCGGAGCAAGGAGGCGAGAATGAGTATTCTTGGGATTCGGACAGTACTCTCCGCCGCGCTGTGACGTCGTCGACCTCAAAGTACGCTCTTACAAGCATCCTTCCCGTGGATTCGGACACACCCTAGATTATCGCTCATTTTCTCATAGCAGCAGCTGTGTGTGTGTGTGTGTGTGTGTGTGTGTGTGTGTGTGTGTGTGTGTGTGTGTGTGTGTGTGTGTGTGTGTGTGTGTGTGTGTGCGCGCGCGTGTTTAAATACTCGCATCATCAGGCTGTGGTTGGAGTCTGTGGAGCATCTTGGGAGATGGCAGGCAGGCTCTCTTCAGCGCTTCGGTGCTGGCTTCTCTTTTCGAGGTTAAGAATGGTGCCTTTAGTAAAGCTTGTGTTTGTGCTGCTCCAGCCCGTTTTAGTGTCGGGGATCCATAGGCGACTCAGCGTCAGTCTGTGGAAGGCAGACTCCTTCAACCAGGAGTTTGCCGACCATCAGGGAGACCTTGTCAGCTGTAGAGACCAGGTAGTGTCCAACTCTGGGATCAAAGAATTCTGGGATGGATTTGAGGACATAACCAGTAAGTTCAGGTCCATTTGTCCTCCCACTGCCTCAGCTGCATTTAATAAGTGGTCATGAGTTTAAGAGAAGGTGTTCTACCTGTTCAGAACGACCAAAGTCCAAAGATGGAGAACCTATGGTCTACAGGCTGAAGGACTGGCCGTCTGGAGAGGAGTTCATGGCTCTGATGCCCTCCAGGTACCGGCCAGCTTTACTTTTCTTGTTCAGGTTGCGGGACCTGAACGGATTATGGAGGGAGCTTATGGAATGTTTGTCATTCCAGATACGATGACCTGATGAAGAACCTTCCACTGCCAGAATATTGTGATCCAGAGGGGAACCTCAACCTGGCCTCCCATCTGCCGTCATTTTTTGTCCGACCGGACCTTGGACCAAGACTCTGCTGTGCATATGGTGAGATAACCTGCTAACGTACTTTTGTCATGTCAACCAGCAGCTCCGATACCATGTGATGATGCCACAGCTAATTAGCTCCTGTGTGTGCGTCATTTACATTTTTACTGTATCTGTTTTAAAAATGTCTCTTGTTGTATTTGGTGATTATACGGCCGGGCATCGGCTAGGGGTGAACCATTTTAGGATAAAATTGAATTGCGATTTTTCTAGGTGAAATAGATTTCAATTTGATTTTCTTAAAATCAAGGTTCAACATATTATTTACAATATAGTCATATAAATCATACCATAAAAACATTTAAAGCTATTAGTTTTCTCCCGTTATCTTTTTTTAACCTTTTTTTTATTTTTATTTTTATTTTATTTTATTTTTTTTTTTCATGTTTATTGTGCTTGTGAAGCAACCTGTGATTTTTATCTAGAGGCGCTTTATAAAAAAGTATGTTCTTGTCCTTGTGGGCTTCAGATTTTTATCTGTTTACCAGTGATTTTTTGTGACCTCTGACCTTTATATGATTATACATATTTTATTGGGACAATAATCTGTTGAAATAATTAGAAAAATGATCTATCGATGTGTAACCGCTGTAGACCAGATTCTTGCTTTGCAAAGATAAATATATTTATTTAGTCTGGCTTGCCAGGCAAATAATGTGACTTTTTGCGGGGTTAGGGGGAGGGTGAGGGTTAGGGTTAGGGTAGTCCATTTTCTACTATGAGGTTTACACAGCCCCTCTGCTGAAAATAGACCAACAGAACAGCTTAGGAAATGATTTCAGTTCATTATATAATTATTATTAGAAGAAGAAAATATCATTTCTATAGCGCCTCTCAAGATAAAAATTACGAGGCGCTTCACAAAAACAAAAAATATAAAAAAGCATTTAGAAAATGTTTTAAAATATATTTAAAATGAGCAAAAAATAGACAATTGTGATTTAAAAATGTTAAGAAAGAGAGAGAGTGAACAGGAAAGAGGGAAATCAGTGGATCCTGAGGAAGGTGGAATAGGTGGGGAGAGCAGAATAAAGAGAGAGAGGTGAAGAAGGTCAAACAAAAGCCAGCTTGAACAGGTGAGACTTCAGCTGCTTTTTAAAGGAGACCACTGAGTCCACTGATCTCAGGCTCAGGGGGAGAGAGGTCCAAAGTCTGGGGGCCACAGCAGCAAAGGATCTGTCACCTTTGACCTTTAGCCTGGTGTGCTGCACAACCAGTAGGCTTTGATCACTGGACCTCAGGGACCTGCTGGAGGTGTAGGGACTAAGAAGACCACCAATGTAAGATGGTGCTTGTCCATGTAAGGCCCTATAGACCAGAACCAGGATCTTGAAATGAACCCTGAAGTTGACTGGCAGCCAGTGAAGCTGGAGGAGAAGCGGGGTGATGTGGGTGTGTTTGGAGGACTTGGTCAGAAGCCGAGCACAGGCATTCTGAACTACCTGTAGACTGTTCAGGGAGGTTCTGCTCAGACACGTGAAAAGAGAGTTACAGTAGTCTAAGCGTGAGGAGATGAAGGTGTGGAGAACTGTCTCAAGTTCAGAGCGGGACAAGAGAACTAACATGAGAATCCAGGGTGAGAGCTGGGTCAAAGGTCACACCAAGATTCCTGACAGAAGGTTTGGTGTGAGAAGCAAGCTGACCAATAGAGTCTCTGACTTTGGGAACCAGCTTGTCTGGGGCACAGATGAGGATCTCAGTCTTATCTTCATTCAGCTGAAGAAAGCTCCCACCATCCAGGTTTTGATAGAGTCTAAGCAGGTGTGTAACAGCTGCAGCTTAGACATCTCATGGGGCTTAAAGGAGATGTACAGTTGGATGTCATCTGCATAAAGATGGTAAGAGATTCCTTTGAAGGAGCTCAGGATGTGCTGAAGAGGAAGCAGATAGAGGAGGAAGAGCAGAGGCCCCAGCACAGAACCTTGTGGGACACCATGGGTAAGGGAGGTGGTGGAGGACCTAAACTTGGAGACGGCCACAGAAAAGGAGCACTCAGAGAGATAAGAGGAGAACCACTCCAGAGCAGATCCTGATAGGCCTACCCAGTCTCTCAGCCTCTCCAGTAGCAGGTGATGGTCAACAGTGACAAAGGCTGCAGTCAGGTCCAGCAGGACCAGAACAGAACCAGAAGAATTAGGAATTATTATGAAACATCGGCATGAAACATATGAATGTAATAATAAATATAGTAATGATCTGTAGGGGTTATTATGAGTGTAGACTGTTACTGTCGCTTTAAAAGACAGGTGGTTACGTGTGAAAGTGAACCTGGGGCTGCAGTGAGATGTGGGTTTATTTCAGCTGTTTGCTGGTCTCATAAACCACTGTTAAGGGCAAAATGTCCTGTCTGGTGTTTTAGTTCTGCACAACTTTTATAATAAGAAGAAGTGATCTTAGGTTTTCTCTCGTTTATAAAAAGCTGCTGAAAGCGTCCGGTGTGCAGATCAGTTAAAAGGTCAGAGGAAGTTCTCCTGCAGGCTGCTGCAGATCAGAAAACGTGCTATGGACTCATGCAAACTTTCAGACTGTACTTTGTGGTTTCCAGAAAGTTTATTGTATTTTGGTAATTTAAGAGAGGAAGCAGGTCGGTCAGTATGTTCAAGGATTTTATGCTTTTCATCGAACAAACTTAAAATCGCTGGAGCGGTTCGCAGCCGAGTGTGAAGCAGCTGGGATGAGAATCAGCTCCTCTAAATCTGAGACCATGGTCTTGATTCAGAAAAGGGCAGAATGCCTTCTCCGGGTCAGGGATGAGGTTCTGCCCCAAGTGGAGGAGTTAAAGTATCTCGGGGTCTTTGTTCATGAGTGAGGGAAAACTGGAGCGTGAGATCGATAGGTGGATTGGTGCTGCATCTGCAGTGATGCGGGCGTTGTACCGGTCTGTCGTGGTGAAGAGAGAGCTGAGTCAGAAGGTGAAGCTATCGATTTACCGGTGGATCTACGTTCCTACCCTCACCTATGGTCATGAGCTTTGGGTAGTGACCGAAAGAACGAGATCAAGCGGCCGAAATGAGTTTTCTCAGAAGAGTGACAGGTCTCTCCCTTAGAGATAGGGTGAGAAGCTCGGTCATCCGGGAGGGGCTCGGAGTAGACCCGCTGCTCCTCCACATCGAGAGTAGGGCTGCAACAACGAATCGATGAATTCGATGAAAATCGATTACTAAAAGCGTTGGCAACGAATTGCGTCATCGATTCGTTGTGTTGCGCAACTCTTCCAAAAGCCCCCTCCCCTCCCGCCCGCCGTTGCGCGCAGACCGGTGGAGAGCCGGCAGGTGTTTGTAAGAGGAACATGGCAGAAGCAGCGAGACCCCAAAAAAGTTAAAACTTCTAAAGTTTGGGAGCATTTTCAGTTAAATCAGGCGAAGACATGCAACGTTTGCAGGTCAGACTTAGCATGGCACGGGGATACTACGGTGATGATGCAGCGTCTTAAACGCAAGCATGTCAGAATCATCAGCGAGGAAGGAGAGAGCTCGGTGTCCGGGTAAGTTAAAAACTTTTCAAAAGTGATTCACCCAAGCCCCAGATTATTACACAGGCTAGACATGCCCTAAGCTCGTAAAAAAAGTCTATAAAATTGTAAGCGCGACGCTATTTGATAGTCGGGGGGGGGGGGACTCGCGCCGCTGCGAACCGGTTCCGCCGTCACATTCCCGCAGAAACTGGTTGATCACACCGGGGCCAGACTACTAGCATGTGGTTTTACAACCACAATGTCCTCAGAAGCAAAAACGCTTTTAAAAGGGAGGGAGGAGTCCTAACTGTTGCTGCAGGCGTGTTGTGTGAGAGTGCAGTTATATACTGGTTAATATATTTTTGGGTTCAGTTGCTTTCATGTGGCCTAATGTGAGTCTATTTGGGATCATTGGAATGATCAGCAGCATTTCTTGATGTGACTGTATGGCAGTTGCCCAGGGCATCATCACAAGGAGGATGGCATTCATTTACTTTTGTTTTATTTGGTATTTTTTCAGTCATTTTTGGAAATAGTGATTAATTTTGATTAATTCACAGCCTATGTTTAATTACATTTAAAAATTAGTTGTTTGACATCCCCAATTATAATAAATGTCTACAGATGAGATCAAACAAAACAGATGAGAATTGCCCTTAAAGAGCAAGTCACCCCCAAATAAACATTTTTTTTGCTGATAAACTAAATAAACGAGTGTCTAATCGTGCTGCAGACACGTGTCGTCAATAATTTGGCACTTCAGTGCATCTTAGTTAAAATTTAAATATTCTGCCTAAAACTGGCAGTGTTGTGCCGTTGTCAGGTAAAAACTCTGCACTGTATTTTAATTTAAATCTGCCACCACTATTGGCTAAGAAGTATGCTATGATGTAAACTGGTACATTATGATGTCACAATGCTGTTGTGAGCCTGAGTGTGTGTGTATTTGTTAGCGGCTCCGCCTTCTCGGTCTGCCAGGCAACAGCATGTGTTTCATTTTTCAAACATGAAGTGGGAGTGGAGTTAGACTCTGATAGGGGTTGACTTGCTCTTTAAGCTGTTTAACTTGGACCAAGCATTTTAGGTCACAGATAGATGTAGTTTAGGGTCTCTGTCTATACGCCTTATAAGACAATTTAGGTGATGGCATGTTGTTTTTCTGCTATTGAACTGTTTTCTAATAATGTTGTGTTTAATAAAGTGAAGGAAGGAGAAAAATAACGTTTCCCTGGCAGTTTTTAAAAATGTCCCTATGTAATCCGATTAATCGTGTCGAGACCCCATCCGATTAATCGATTATCCAAATAATCGTTTGTTGCAGCCCTAATCGAGAGGAGCCAGTTGAGGTGGCTCGGGCATCTGGTCAGGATGTCTCCTGGACGCCTCCTTGGTGAGGTTTTCCGGGCACGTCCAACCATAGACCTAAAGATAGAACCGGGACAGGACTATGTTTCTCGGCTGGCCAGGGAACGCCTTGGGAGTTCCCTGGAAGAGCTGGCTCAAATAGCTGGGAGAGGGAAGTCTAGGCATCCCAGCTTAAGCTGCTGCCCCCCGCGACCCGACTCCGGATAAGCGGTTGAAAATGGATGGATGGATAGAATATTAAAACCATCGGGAACACGTCATTAATGTTGGACTGTACGACATGTTTTCACAAACAGTGGTTTTGAAAAGAAGTTGCGCTTTCAAGTCCACTTAGTGATAAATGATGTTCAGCTGCTGGAGAATCAGCCTCTCTCTCTCTGTGTCACTCACCCAGCAGCAGAGCTACGTAAGGTACAAAAGAAACAGGGAAAATAACCAGAAATGTGTAGCTGGGCTCAGCTCCAGTACCCATAACCCCCTCCCTCTTCCCCAGGCTCTCTGCTGCAGCTGTAACACAGGGGAAACCCCGGACGGACGTCTAAAATAGTTGATAACAGATCCTGGGTCAGTCAGGAGCTCTACAAAAACGATAGATCGTTCAGCCCTAGTATCAGCTGGTACTGGACCTCAGAACATCGTTCCCATCTAGGACCTGTAGCACTTGTCTAGAACGACCATAAAGAACAAGGAATGGTCCAAGAACCTCTGTTTCCTCTACAGATGTCCCCTGCTCTGATCGCATATTCCTCTTTAGGTGTCATTGCATCTCAGGATCAGGACTTTGGAACTGCCAACCTCCATGTGGAAGTCTCGGATGTAGTCTCTGTCCTGGTCTATGTTGGTGTAGCCAAAGGGAATGGAGTCCTGTCCAAAACTGGTAAAAGTCTTATTTTAGTGATCTTTGTGCTCTTGGTAACTTTTCATAATGATGTTTTTTTTACATCTTCTCTGTTGAAAGCTGCACCCCAAAAGCTTCTTTCTCATAAGTTTAAACGATCACCAACGGTCAACCTGAGACACGAGTAGAAACAGGTGTTTGTGTGTCTGTAGGAGTGCTGAAGCGTCTGGAGGAAGAGGATCTAGATGATGGAGTTAGAAGACGATTGAAGGACTCTAGTGAAACACCAGGGGCGCTGTGGCACATCTACCTCAACAGGGACATGGACAAAATCCGAGAGTTCCTGCATAAGGTTTGTTCTGCACACTTGCTGCAGCTTCACAGGGACATTTTGATTATTCGTCTTCAAGTTTTGCCTTATCTCACTCACCTGTTCTGTCTCTCACATGAAACCACCTCAGCTCTGTAAGGAGCAGAGTCTGGACATGTCCTTAGACCAAGACCCAATTAGAGAACACGTGTGGTATCTGAGCAAGAAGCAGCGCCAGCGGCTACTGGATGAGCATGGAGTTCAGGGCTGGACTGTGGTTCAGTTCCTGGGAGATTCTGTCCTGATACCTGCTGGGGCCATGCACCAGGTAATTCTGGATGGCTGGAGTCAATGTAGAGCTTCCTCCTCTAAACAAACATGTAGATGTGGGTTTTTCCATGTGGCTGCAGCTCAGAGGAAAGAGGTGTTGGTCTGATTTGAGGCCATGTTTTAAAATGGCTCGGTAATCGTCTGCCACCTGCTGGCCTGAAACCAGACCACCACCTGGGTTGGCACTGTGCTGCTGCACACACACACACACACACACACACACACACACACACACACACACACACGCTGTGGGCAAGCACTCTGATTGGCTGACAGGATTGAGCCTTTCTTAGCTGGAGAGCAACTACTTTGTTTTTGCTGGTTGGATGGAAGTCTGTTGTGGAGCACAGGCTGAATTTTGTAACGGTTGAACTGTGCTTGACACGGTTTTCTTTCTACTCCAACACAGGTCCAGAATCTTCACAGCTGTGTTCAAGTCATCAATGACTTTGTGTCTCCTGAGCACGTGTGCAGGTCCTTTCACCTGACCCAGGAGCTTCGGTCCAATAAGGAGGAGGTCAACTATGAGGATAAATTACAGGTGATGACGACCAGTTACAACCAGTCGATCTAATCCCATCAGCTTGGATTAGTTATGGAGGAATTTTGTTCAGCCTCAGCCAGATAGCAGACTCATTCTGAGTTTGTGTGGAGGATCACAGTGTAGGGAGACACTTCAGACGCCAGATGTTTATAAACACTTGTGCAAACAAGATCAGGATCTATAAACAGCAGCTGGTGATGGGAAAGAGACAATAATGTGGGGAACATCTCTGAGGAGTTCTGACCCGCTTTAAATACATGAATGATGGTTGAAGATTGAATGATTCAGATTCATGTACAAGTGGAATATTTTGTGTGAAGGCCTTACAACATTTTGGTGTGCTTTTACCTATAATATGAATTTTAAATCCATCCATTATCTGCTCATCTGGAGTCGATTCACGGGGACAGCAGCCTGAGCAAAGAGGCCCAGGCTTTCCTCCCTCCAGCCACTTGGGCAAGCTCCTTTGGGGGAATCCCAAGGCGTTCCGGGTCAGCCAAGAGACATTTGACGCCTACACTTTAGCGTTTGCACGGTGGGGGTTTGGTGGGGCTGGATGGCGTGAGTTCGGTCTCGAATGGGCAGTGTAGTGTTCACATATAAATCCGAGGGACTTCTCAGGAATGTGGAAATCCCCGAGCCTGTGGGCGGAGTTTAAAATGCGCGTGAAAGTCTGCGGTGTCCTCCATACTGAGGTAAACAAAGGCGGACATGAGCTGTGTTGCATTTGGAGACTCTGAACCACATTGTTTTATTAATTTGCTGATTGTGTGTCCTCAATATCTTCTGCCACACACACACACACCTCCTGTTCCCACTGATCGGCAGCTCCATGCTACATACAGAGAAGTTTACTTAACAGCATCCAGCATGACATGCGGATTATTACAACCGGTAAAGGTAAGACTGAGTTGATGCTTTTAACTAAATGAAATTGGCTTCATTTGTTTTCTGTACTGGATTTGCATATATTGGTGAATATGAAGCACATTTTTGGAGCAATTTTGCTGTTACTAGTCTGTCGGTGGTGACATGCACATAGGACATCCGAAATCAGCTCAGCCATCACAACTGCTAATTTCAGACTTTATTATTAGAATCATGAACAATGAGACTTTTTGAAATTGCGGTTCCACAATTAGTCGACTCGTCTCGACGTCGTCAACAAACAAACAGGTCAACTATTAATTTAATAGTCGACATGTTTTTTTCTCTATAAACATTTTTGTAATCTCGCCATCTGAGGCAAATTCAGCAGTTGCCTCCTGCCTCTCTGCTCAACGCACATGCGCAGTAGTGGCCAGCCAGGTCAGCCTTAGTCACCGGAGAAAGAAGACACGGCGATTCGCCAACGCAGCTCATAAGTTTGGGAGCGTTATACAAAGACTAAAGAAAGGCGTAGAGTGCAAACTCTGCAAAGCGAAACTTTCCTTTCACGGGAGCACATCAGCGATGCACAAGCACCTTCAAAAGAAGCACGTCATGGCGGAGAGTCAAGAGTCGCCTCGGTAAGTTTACCTCTTGTTGGCTGCTAACATCAACATTCATAGGTGTAGCAACACCAGTAGCGGTGGCGATGTTATTACCATTAGAACTCTTTTGTATTTCACGTATTTTTGCTCTAACTACAAACGCTAATGATTTATTTCATCCCGCTACGTTACAGTGTTACTAACAGTGCTCCTCTTCAATGGACGAGTTTGTTGCGTGCACACTCAGCAAGCTAACGACCTGACCGAGGCTGTGGTGAGCATGTTGGTCCCGACACTTCTGTCCATGGTCGGTATCAAAGTTTCAAAGAGATGATCAAGCAGCTCAACCCAGGTTACCATGGCAACTACCTACCAGGCTGATCCCAGTTCACCACCATGATGGAAACAAAATATGAAACAACCTTTAAGGTCTGTGTGTGTGCATGCATTCAATTCAAATTCAGAAATACTTTATTAATCCCAGAGGGAAATTAGAATTTCAGTATACACACTTCTGAGATCACGCTCCCACGCTCCTCCTTGAACCGTCACCTTATCTTAGTGGAGGAGTTTGAGTGCCCCAATGATCCTAGGAGCTATGTTGTCTGGGGCACTTTGTGCCCCTGGTAGGGTCTCCCATGACAAATTGGTCTTAGGTGAAGGGTGAGACAAAGAACGGTTCACAGGATCTTTCATGGAAGTAAATTCAAAGAGTCGGAGTACCCGGCCCGGAGGGTTACCGGGGTCCCACCCTGGAGCCGGGCCTGGGGTTGGGGCCCGTGGGCGAGCGCCTGGTGGCCGGGCTTTCGCCCATGGGGCCGAGCCCAGCCCAAACCGGATACATGGGCTCATCCAACTGTGGACCCACCACCCGCAGGAGGAACATGAAGGGTCCAGTGCAGTGTGGATCGGGTGGCAGACCAAGGCGGGAGCCTTGGCGGTCCGATCCCCGGACAATGAAACTGTAGCGTGAGTTTGGTCCGCATAGCCGGTAGTAAGTCAGACCTGTTCCCAGTGAGGGTTGGACTCTGCCAGGGCTGCCCTTTGTCACCGGTTCTGTTCATTACCTTTATGGACAGAATTTCTAGGCGCAGCCGTGGTGTGGAGTGTGTCGAGTTAGGTGGCAGGAGAATTTCGTCTCTGCTTTTTGCGGATGATGTGGTCCTCTTAGCTTCATCCAGCTCTGACCTTCAGCTCTTGCTGGGTAGGTTCGCGGCCGAGTGTGAAGCGGCTGGGATGAGGATCAGCACCTCCAAATCTGAGACCATGGTTCTCGACCGGAAAAGGGTGGCTTGCCAACCCCGGGTCGGGAGAGAGGTCCTACCTCAAGTGGAGGAGTTTAAGTATCTCGGGGTCTTGTTCACAAGTGAGGGTAGGATGGATCGGGAGATCGACAGGCGGATTGGTTCGGCGTCTGCAGTGATGCGGACGCTGAGCCGATCTGTCGTTGTGAAGAGGGAGCTGAGCCAGAAAGCCAGGCTCTCGATTTACCGGTCGATCTACGTCCCAATCCTCACCTATGGTCATGAGCTTTGGGTAATGACCGAAAGAACAAGATCGCGGATACAAGCGGCCGAAATGAGTTTCCTCCGTAGGGTGGCCGGGCTCAGCCTTAGAGATAGGGTGAGGAGCTCGGACATTCGGGAGGGACTCGGAGTAGAACCGCTGCTTCTCCGGATCAAAATGAGCCAGTTGAGGTGGTTTGGGCAGCTGGTCAGGATGCCTCCTGGACGCCTCCCCGGGGAGGTGTTTCGGGCATGTCCTGCCGGCAGGAGGCCCCCGGGTCGACCCAGAACACGTTGGAGAGGTTACATCTTCAATCTGGTCCGGGAACGCCTTGGGGTCCTGCCGGAGGAGCTGGTGGAGGTGGCCGGGGAGAGGACGGTCTGGAGCTCCCTAGTTGGGATGCTGCCCCCACGACCCAGACCCAGATAAGCGGAGGAAGACGACGACGACGACACTTCTGAGATCAGACATACATACATAGACACATGACAAGAATTGGTGACTGTGGTCATTTGCAACATGAGTCGTGCTACTGTTATAGATCAAGAGGGTTTATATGAGGATAGTCAGGGGGAGGGAAAAAAGGCACTTCAGAGTTACCCTCCACACAGAGGGCAGCTTTGCTATGCAAAAAAAAAACACCTCAGACAGATATGCACACAGACTTCAGACATTACACAACATAAGTGTCCACTAGGTGGGGAGGTAGGGTTGGGACTCTCCTTACTTCAGTGCATGCAGCCGCATGGGGCAGCACTCGTCACCTCCGTTTAGACAGGGGAGGGAGATAATGGGTTAGAGAGCACAGTGACTCCCAGATACGGTTTCACGGCCTTCACCGGTCACTGCCCCGCCCAGGCTGGGATAGGGAGAAGAGTTACTATAGCGACGGCAACATTCCACATTTGTTCGGGGGGGGGGTTACACTTTAGCCTCACAGGCTCCAAGGGCACCAGATTCAGATAAGAATTGTTTTGGGGACAGACAGATACTTTCCTCTCTGCCTTAGAGTTCTGTTGGTCTTCAACCCCTTTCGTGTTTGTCTCCGTTTCTCTCTGGACACAAATAAAATAAATAGAAAAAAATGCATTTATTATCAAATAAGAAGTTTGCTGACTGGGCAGTCAAATAGCTAATATTAAAGCACAAAATATGTTTTGTGTGAAATCTTAATATACTTAATTTGATTTAACAGAATAATTAATCTGGTTAATAAACTGACTTTAATATCTTTTATCTTTACGCTAAAGCAGAGCCTCAGAGCTGTCGATGGTCGCTGACTGCTGACGTGTGGACCAGCCGTGCTACAGAGGCGTACCTCGGTGTGTCCTGCTATTTCCTGAGTTTAGATTGGAAGATGAAGCGCTTCAACCGTGCCACCATGCCTCTTGTGAACATCAGTCAATTTTGTGTACGGTTTATTTTTGGTTTTAGTTGCCTTCCTCCATTTGATTGTAGCAGTTGTATTAACAGGTTACAAAGTTAATTAAAAGTGTTTTGATAAGCTTTCGTCTTGTCTTTATTATTTGATGGAACACAGCTGGACCCAGGGGCGACCAGCCCCACCGGGCACCCAACAGAGCCCAGAGACCAATATTTCCTACTCCATATACGTGGAGGACACCCACTCTGACAGATTTAGATGCTACGCTGGTGCTGCAGTTAAAAAAACAAAACTGCATTCCACTATAATAGATGATGGCGTACACTTCTACGATGCAGAATCGTCTCATGTCCGCATCTTGATGCATTGATTATTTTCCTCAGTTCAACTCCGCACAAGTGGCGAAAACATGCACACTCATTACAAGCTCGCTCTGGTTTTGGTTTTATACGAGCCACAGATCTAAGTTATGTGTTTTATTTATGAAAACTTTGTAGAATCTAGTCGCATTAATGAGCGCCAACGGAGCCAAGCTCTGGTGTCACTTTGAGAGTTAACATGATGAGTAGTTCCAGTCTAAGGGGGACGGCAGGCGGAACCAGGACTCAACTGGGGAAATTTCTGGTGGGCCAGTCTGGTCGGTGTTTTTATTCGTCATTTTCTTTTTTTCTCAACACCCACACTTTAAAGATTCTTGCTACGCCCATGCGTAGATCCAATGATAAATCGAGAACTTCCCCCCGGCTCAGATCTCTCTTCACCTCGACAGACCATTGCATAGCCTGCATTACTGCAGACACAGCACAAATCTGCCTGTTGATCCTGCACTCCTCCTTTCCCTCACTTGTGAACAAGATAGGAGATATTTGCGTAACATTACCGTAATGTGTTGTATACCACTGGAAAGCGTAGAGTCTCAGCTTTCAGAATCCGTTGAAATTACGTTGATTGCTTAAACGATTGAAGACTTATGTTAGTTCAAAGTATGGAAGCCATCATTCCGCATTCCTGAGAAGTCCCTACACCACCCGTACCAGCTCAAACTCACGCCATCCAGCCCGACCAAACCCCGACCGTGCTGACGCTAACGTGTAAGTGCGAACCTCTACATACCAGGAACCCGTAGATCAGCTCCGATACGACCCGTCTGGTCTGAGATACCTCCAGGTGACAGCCGGAAGCTGGAATGCTTGTTTTGCATCTGAGGCTGTTTGGCAAGGCCGGATTATAATATGGGCAAACTGGGCACAGGCCCAGGGGCCCACAGCCAAAAGGGGGCCCACGCGAGCAGCAGTCTTTTTTTCTTTCTTTCTTTCTTTCTTTCTTTCTTTCTTTCGCAGCAGTCTTAATGTTGGAGAAAGAAGTTGACAAGTAATTAAACTTGCGCCCACATTTTCAAAGTTAAACACTTTTTTTTAACAACGGTAATTTCTGTATCTTGCTTCAGCTCTCTCCCCCTCCCCCTGCACAGCGGCTGCAAACTCACTGATGCGCCTGCAGCCTCTCAGAGTTCCTGCTGCTCTAAACATTGAAAGAATCATTTAATTTTCTGTTCCTCACTTCTGATTACCTTCAGTGGTGTCTGTTTGTTGCATCCACCAGGTACAAAAACTAACTTGTTTTTATTTGACTATTTTTCTGTCCTGCCTGTTTATTATCTTCCTGCATCTCCTCTCAATCCTAAAGAAAAACTGCTACCTGGCTTCATATTTTCACCTCATGAGTTACCTTTGAACTGCAGTTCTAAAATATCTACCGACCGCAAATATAGCAGAGTGTGCGCCGCGCGCCGGCCGCACCACTGCAGTCATCACCGGAGGATGAAACGGGCGATGCGCTCGCTCTGCAGTAACGAAACTCATCAGACACAAATAAAAGACAGAAGACATGAAAAGATATGAGCTGACATGAACGATCGCATGTAAAATTTGTTTTTGAGGTGACGACACTTCGATAACATTACTGCGGCTGTGCTCAGGACGCAGCTGTCTGGAGCGCGTCAACGATCAGAGCTCTGTGCCTCTCCGTTCAAAATAATCCCCAGAGAGTCCACATAGATGATGTAATATAAGCAATACCAGGATCGTTTTCAGGCTAAAAAAAATGTCTACAGTCCATCTTCCTTAGTGTGTTTGTGGCCCTGCGGATTTTTCTAACTCTACCAGTTACAAATTGTGAAGGGGAACGATCATTTTCACAAATGGCAAGAATAAAAAATGAACTGAGAACAACACAAAGTCAACAGAGCCTCAGTGCACTGTCACTGATGGCTGTTGAATCTCAGCTTGTCAGGAATCTGGACTTTGATTACATTGTAAACGAATTTACTAATAGAAAGCAGTTTTTCTGAAGGCAAGAGAGGAGACCAACAAGAGGAGACAACAAGAGGAGGAAGAAGCCAGGAGACGAGACAAGAGGAGGAAGGAGACAAGAGGAGGAAAGAGACAGGAGACAAGAGGAGGAAGGAAACAGGAGACAAGAGGATGAAGGAGATAGGAGACAAGAGGAGGAAGGAGACAGGAGACAAGAGGAGGAAGGAGATATATACATAGATATAGATGGATAGATCTCAGAGAAATCTCAACGCCCACACTTTAAAGATTCTTGCTACTCCCCTGCGTAGATCCAGTGGTAAATCGAGAAAGAGACAAAAGGAGGAAGGAGACAGGAGACAAGAGGAGGAAGGAAATAGGAGACAAGAGAAGGAATGAGACAGGAAACAAGAGGAGGAAGGAGACAGAACTCTATGCACATTGTGCTCAGGGGCCCCTGCAATGATAATCCGGCCCTGCTGTTTGGTGGCTCCTAAAAGAGCCGCTGTGTCTGAAATCACTCGCAAGCGTTGCAGAGCAATGTTTTGACCTCAGGTCAAAAGATAGGTTGGTCTCAAATGCTTGCTCACCGGCTTGACCAGACCAGGAGGTAGGTGGAGAACTAACTAGATCAGGAAGTAATTCCTATTTTCATTAACTTTGCTTATAAACTTAAACGTGTCAAATTCTGATTTGTCTAAGAGGGCCTCCAAAGTCCAAAGATACCTCAGAAATCACGCCTTCACTCAGATGTTCAGAGAGGGTAACTCTTAGTGTGAAGTGCAAATGTTATAACAGTCATGTGAAATGAATGTAAAAACCTTAGTATTAATCTTAATATGTATGAGTATCCTGATGAACTTGTTAACAAATACTGATCTGGTGTAGTTTAAGATCTGAAAAGAATCACTGCAAGAAAAATACTCCTTTTAACACATCATTGCTTAATGCACACATTATTCAAACACTTTAGGATTTAACGAGATGATTATATGACACTTATGCAATTATTACGTTTCAAAAAGTAATTTATGACTCAAGGAAGATGAAATTTATTCAGAGTGAAAGTGCAGAAAAGTCTCGCCTTTTGCATGAGACTTTGAGCAAAATAATATGACTCCCTTGTTAGGTAACAAGGTCTTGTGCAGTGCTTTCCTGTTTCGAGGCCAGACAGATGCAGCGTAATTTAAAAAGTAAATTTCTGGTCGTTTTTATGTAAACTTGACCTTTGGGTACGCTACAGTAGCATAAATAAAGAGTGGCAGAACCAATAATTGAGAATGCAGCGCAGCCTCGGGTCAAAATACAACACGTGACGTATTTGCCTCCTCTTGTCAGCCACTAGTGCCATCGGATAAGAGAAATACTCCGGAAAGAGACTAAGTGAAGCATTAATGAAGGCTATTTTTATACTCCCATTTTGTGCCTTTACTGTTTGCACTGTAGCTTTTCTCTGTTATTGCTTAGAAAAAAACAAAATAAAGTATAATATAAATAAAATTTTATAATTAACAATAAGAACAAAACCTTTATGTAGTTTGTTGTCCTCTCTTAAAAAAAAAAAATATATATATATATATAGATTTCAACAAAAGTATTGTTAAGGCACCGCAATCAAAAACCTGGTTAAAGTAATAGTGTCAAGAAATATCTACTGGTCCCCAGCCTTACTGACGCTGTTATATTTAAACATGTGCTTTATGTTACCTAGCTACCCTTTCTGTGAAAGCTCAAACCGCTCTGTGACTTTTCTCTGTGTGTTTTGGCAAAACATAATGAAACAGAAAGATAAATAAATGAACACAAGTTCAAGGATTTTCTTTTTTGCCAGTAAGCCAATGAAATGCGTACAAAATTACTACATATGTGGTTTTGAAAAGGTCTTTAAAAGTCTTTAATTTTACTTCATGAAACCTGTAGGGACCCTGTTTACAGTAGTATGATATGGAACCTTTAATGTAGGACAAGAATAAAAAAAATTAAAGCTGCAAGCAGCGTTGTTCGGCCCTCGCGGCTCCACGCCGCTCCGGCCTGGCCGGCAGTCTGGTGCACCCGGGCACGTCCGCTGAACAGAAACATCAACCACCCTGAGGCCCGAGCAGTGAAAGCGCTGCGAAGGCCTATTGTATCTGCTCAGTTTATTTTTCTTCCGCCAAGTAAATTGGCTTTTTGGAGGCCTTAACATAAAACGAAAACATGTCACACATGCACACATGTCAGGCGTGATTTAATATTTTGTATTTTAAAGGTCCCAAATAAATTGCAATAAAATTAGCTCCACAACGCCCCCTAGAAAGTGAAAAATACCCCCCTCCTTAAACCTTAGTTTGTCGTACAGTTATGAAATTTTGTACACTTGTAGTACTCAACAGATCGCACAGAAAAGCCTCTTGCAACCTTGGTCAACATCAAACAGGAAGTCGACCATTTTGGTTTGAAGTTGTAATTTTGACCCCGTTTTGGCCGTTTCTAGGGCCCGCTTCTGATTGATTTACTCGATCATTTTTCGCACGATCGTCTCAAAGTTTATGGTAAATTGCTCAGAAGGGATGGGCGATCAAATAGAAAAAATAAAACTGACTTGTCGTATATGCTGAGGGGGCGTGGCCAGGCCTCGAAGTTCGACTACTCGTCCAAAAAAAAAATAAATGGCTATAACTTCATACTCGAATAGTAACAAAAATTTCTGTGGTCATTCAACATCCAGCCACAAACTAAACTGAATGGTCGGATGATGACATCACATAAGCCCCGCCCCCTTGGGACCAAAACGGTCAAGTTTAACTGTGACGTGCATTTCACTTAATCACCACAAATTTGTAGCTGGTAACTCAAGACAAGTGGTTGTTTCTTGGCGTCACTTTATGGGAGTTTTCAAAAGAGGGCGGGGCTGTGGCGGCACGGCGAAGCCAGGTCTACCGCCGTGGCCTTACGTTTGCCTCCCATTTCGTCATTTCTAAAGATATCACCACAAAACTTCTGGTGAGTGATCCTAGTCCGGCCCCCCAAAAAATCTGATGTGAAAATCCGGTGGGCGTGGCCTATTTTCTTAAATAGCGCCCCCTAGGACCATTAAAATTGTCAGCCCCAAGCTTTGACTGAGGAATACGAAATTTGGTACACTAATTTAGTGTCTCAGGACCTACAAAAAAGTCTCTTGGAGCCCAGCGCAAAGTCGCACAGGAGGTCAGCCATTTTGGTCCAGGTACTCAATGTAGTGGTTTTTGCACACGTTGTTTGGAGAATGATGCCCCGTCGCCCTTTTCACCGATCACCTTCAAACTTCTGCTATATACTCTTAAGCTATAAGGGAAACAATTCAACTGTTGGATTTTTCAAAAGTTCGAAAGGTGTGGGCGTGGCTAAAGCCTCAAACTTTGACCTTTCGCCACGCCACTCTTTTTCACAGCTCCCTATTGGACTCCTTTCACCCAATCACCAGCAATCTCTGGCAAATAGCAGTATACAAGTTGAGGTAACTTGATGTCCAGTATTGGCAGGTTTCAAAAAAAGGTGGGGTTTTGGGAGCATGGCAAAATTCGCCATCACGCCATGGAAATACGTTTGACTCTCATTTCCTCAGTTATAATGATATTGCCACAAAATCTCTGGTGAGTGATCCTAGTCTGATCCCCAATAGAAATGAATGTGATAGTTTGTTGGGCGTGGCCTATTTTCTGAAATGGCACCCCTAGAACCATTAAAACTGTCAGCCCCAAGCCGTGCTTTAATTAAGAACTACGAAATTTGGTACACTAATGTAGTGCCTTGGGACTTAAAAAAAAGACTCTTGGAGCCAAGAACAGTGTCGCACAGGAAGTCGACCATTTTGGTCCAAGTACTCTATTTAGTGGTATTCGCACACGTCGTTTGGAAAGTGATGCCCCATCGCCCTTTTCGCCAATCGCCTTCAAACTTCTGCTATATATTCTTAAGACGTAGGGGAAAAAATTCAACCATCAGATTTGAATTAAGTATGAAAGTATGGGAGTGGCTAAGCCTCAAACTTTGACCTGTTGCCACGCCACTCTTTTTTTCACAGCTTCCTATTGGACTCCTTTCACACAATCACCAGCAATCTCTGGCAAATAGCCGCAGACAAGTTGAGGCCACTTGGTGTCCTGTATTGGCAGGTTTAGAAAAAAGTCTGGGCTTTGGGAGCATGGCGAAATTCGCCATCACACCATGGAAATACGTTTGCCTCTCATTTCCTCAGTTATCATGATATCGCTACGAATTCTCTGGTGAGTGATGCTAGTTGGACCACCAATAGAAATGGATGTGATAGGTTTGTGGGCATGGCCTATTTTCTGAAATATCACCCCCTAGGACCATTAAAACTGTCAGCCCCAAGCCATGCTTTGACTGAAGATTACATTTGGTACACTAATATAGTGTCTCAGGGCCTACAAAAAAGTCTCTTGGAGCCAAGCGCAAAGTCGCACAGGACGTAGGCCATTTTGGTCCAAGTACTCAATTTAGTTACCCTGGCAAGCCAGACTAAATAAAGTGTGTTTAGTCTGGCCACGCTCCATTGACGGCTCTCGGTTGTGGGGCGGGTACTACCGTTGTCTTTCAAATGATCTCCGCATTCCACTGGACAATGAATGTGACATACTCTTGTTTCACTCTGCTGCATCATCCCACCCACCAGGCATATAGAGTGCCCTGATTGGCCCACAAAGCGGATAAAGCTCTGTGATTTGTTCACTAAGCAGATAGAGCACTATGATTGGCCCACCATTATGGACCAATCACAGCTCTTTATGTGTTTGAAACCCCTCTAGAGAGCTGTGATTGGCTAGCCAGAGTCCTGGTAGGAGCTGCAGAGGTTCCAATGGAGCATGCCTAGACCAAACTTTGCAAAGCAAGAATTTGGTCTAGTTCACTAGGCTACAATTTAGTGGTTTTTGCACACGTAGTTTGGAGAGTGATGCCCCATTGCCCTTTTCACCAATCGCCTTCACACTTCTGCTATATACTTTTAAGACATAGGGGAAAAAATGCAACCGTCGGATTGTTCAAAAGTTGAAAGATGTGGGCGTGGCTAAGCCTCAAACTTTGACCTTTCGCCATTACATTACTTGATGTAATAACTCCCATGTGCATGATCAGATCCATATCAAACTTTGTCTGTGTGATCACTGACCACATCTCAAGACAATGACAATGTGGACACCTGACATCACCTAAGCCCCGCCCCCTGACAACAGGAAGTCGATTGTTTTATGGTGAAATGCCCATATTTGCCCCCTCTAATTTAGTCAACATGACACTATAGTCATGCACTGTCTTCATGATGCTGTAATGACCATTCAGATCTGACAGCTTTCCTGATAGAGAGGGGCTTTGATGCCATGGCGAATTCTGGCGTGACGCAGTGACCTCACGTTTGACTGTAACTTCCACAAACAGCCTCCGATCTGCACGAGACTGAACATGGCAATCAACAATCATGCCCTTTAGCCAACGAGGCACAAACGGTTGGTGAACGTTGTATAATATCACCACAGCGCCCCTACATACCTTTAAAACTGTAATAACTCGTACAGACGAGGTCACAACTGCACCAAACTTGCTATATGTCATCACACATAGGCACCCAACACAATCCTGTGGTCATTGGTTGAAAACGCTTTAGCTCCGCCCCCTCACAGATATTAGGCCCTGAATAACACCTGCATGATGCAATTCACACCAAAATGCACACAAATGATTGTTGTCAACCTACTAACTACTTCATGGAATATTTCCTAAATTTGGGACAGCGCCCCTAGATACAATAAAACCTTTGTAACTTCTGCAAAAAAGCTCCAAACTATATCAAACTTTGTGGGAGTCATCACACAACTGCAATCAACACATGTATGTGTTCACTTGTTCAAATCACTAACTTCGCCCACTTACAGCTTTTTGTCTCTAGATGACCCATGCAACGTTTGATTAATGCCAAATTAACAGAAAACCATCTTTGATGACCAAAGATGACCTCTATGGGATTTAGTTGTAAATGGTCACAGCTCCCCCTAGATGGGTTCAAACTTTATTAGCTTCTAAAGACAAGGTTACAATGGCATTAAACTTGGCTTGTGTTATCACGTGACTGCACCAAACACATTGATGTGGTTGTTGGTTCAAACCCCTGTAGCTCCACCTTCTTTCGGCTCTCTGGCTCTAGATAACACACACAACGTCTGATTAATGGCAAAATAACAGAAAACCATCTTTGTCAACCAAAGCTAACCTCAATGGGATTTTTCTGTAGTTGGTCACAGCACCCCCCAGATAACTTTAACCTTCAATGACTTCAAAAAATGTATAAAAGAACATAAAACGTAAAAAGAATAGCATTAAACTTGGTCTGTGTCATCACACCACTAGTGTGGTAAAGATAGCATATCCCCTAGTTGTTAGATGTGTAATTTAATGGTGGGCTCAGAGAAGATGCTGAGTCAGGGTGATATGCGGACGAGGAGACCGTTCGCAGTTTCTGGTGTCGGGGTGGTCGATGTTTATGTTCAGCAGACGTGCCCGGATGCACTAAACTGCTGGCCAGGCTGGAGCGGCGTGGAGCTGCGAGGGCCAAACGATGCTGCTTGCAGCTTTAATTGTGCATTTAATCTGCTCATTTATTTTTGTGTATAATTTTTCAAGACAGCTTGAAGGGATTTAACTTGTCAGCATTTTACTGGGGGGAAATTTTTGAATACATCTGTTGTATATCAGAATTCAGTTAAAAGATATAGAGATATAAGTTTTGGTCCATATGGCCCAGCCCTAGCGCTGTGTGATAACACACAGGCATGCTACTCTACGAGCAGCTAGCCAGCAGGGCCTGCCAGCGATACGGCTCATTGACAATTCGATGCAAGGATGCGTAGACATGAGAAAGCGTGAGTGACTAAGCATTTGACAGGTGAGAGGAAAACTCTTATGTGAGTTGAAGGGTGAGTGGATGATTGGTGATCGAGCAGGACGTGCTCACTACCACCTGACATATAATTAAAAACACGGGGAGGGCAAACAAAACATATTAGCTGTACTTACAAGTGCAATAGCATCATTGCAAGGTCTGCATTCAATTTGAATCCTAAAGCTCTGACCTTCAAAAAATTCTTATTTTACTCAATTTTTTTTCCTCATATCAAATGATGTTTTCTTTGTTCCTTTGAGGCTCTGCCGTGATAAGCACATTGCAATAAATGCTAACCATCTCTAGCTCGTCTATTCTGAGGTGTAAACATAGATTGCCGTAAAGCATTACTGCTTCTTGTGAGACGTTGTGACTTCAGGTCACCGGTCCAAAGTGACAAAAGTTCCAAATTTGGTATTCTGGCCACAAGGAGCGGAGGGGGCAGAAAGACTCTGCATTCACCCTGGTTGAAGTCATTTTAGCATCTACTGGCTCAAGAAAATGAAATGAAAAATTTTCTTGGTGTGCTTTTAATCAGAGTAAAAGTTAAACTTACTCATAATTGCCAGTTTGATCCCAGTTCCTCATTGTGCCTGTTGTGTCTTTAGGCAAGACACTTCCACCTGACTTTCCTATGTTGGTGGTTGTCAAAGGGGCCTATAGCACCAAATCACAGCCCCGTCTACCCCAGGGCAGCTGTGGCTATGATGTGTAAATGAATAATGGTTTCTCTGTGAAGTGCTCTGGATGCCACCAAAGTGCTAAAAAATATTTATCTGTATGATTGTCTGACTTATTTTCTGATCATGATTGTTTTTTCCTCTCCAGGTGAAGAACATCTTGTACCACTGTGTAAAGGAGGCAGTGAGCTCCCTAAAGAGGAGCGCTTCTGACAAAGACGTAAAAGAGGAGAATTCATGACGATCATCTGGCTTCAGCCGTGCGCATAAACAAGCTTCTTGTGTGGTCAGGGCTGGTCACATGACCTGGTGTCAACCTCAAACATGTCACGTATTCAAGTGGCCATCTAGAGGCATGGCCAACTCCATCATCACCACTAGCCTTCAGTGCCGAGAAGAGACGCAGGAACTGAGGAGCTGAAGCTTCATCTGCTTGCAGCTGGCAGCAGGACCAGACAGAGCTCATGTCTGCTTCTGTTTGAGCTCCTGTTGTGGGGAGGGCAAAGGCCAACATGCCTGTCAGTGGCAGCAAGCCACAATAGAAAAATTCTGCTAATCACAACATCACCAGCAGCATCAATGTCAAACATGACATCTCTGATGTCTGACATCATAAGGAACAAAACAACTCAAGAACTCATGAAAAGTGAAAAGGAAACCCAGAAATCTCAGATGGCTCAGTCAGCAGCCTCTGCTGCTGCTTCATTAGTTCTTTCCTTGGTGTGAAATACTTCTCCTTCTTGTTTCCAGGTGTTACTGTTTGTGAGTTTATACTCTCTCTCTCTCTCTCTCTCTCTCTCTCTCTCTCTCATTCTCTTTCTCAAACATTAGTTTCCTCTGTGGAGATGTATTTAAGTAAAGCAGTGTGATCATGGAGAGAGAAACAAGCATTAATGGAAATGTCTGTTGCAAGATCAGTTATTTTCTTTTACTTTGTGGTATTCTGTTGGAATGTACTGTGATGGAGGACACACACACACACCAGCAAATGCCTGTAACTTCAGGGAATGTGGATGCTCTCCAGTCCTGATGCCATAAATGTGTTTTCTGAAAAAGAACTGCCAAACTCTTAAGACCATAACGTTTATGTAAAGAGAAAACAAAAGACTTCATACACAATGTTTTATGGGAAAAAAAGAATTACTGTAAAATGTTGACGGTTACAAAAAGATGTTATTTATTTAAGAAAAGAATTGTCTTGCTTTTGATAAGATTTACTATTGTGAACTTTTAAAGTTTAACATTAAAATAAACTAACTATAAATTGTAAATACACACACACACACGCACACACAAATATGTGTACATACACATAACACACATATATATTTATGTATATGTGTGTGTACACATATATATATATATATATACATATATATATATATATATATATATATGTGTATGCATATATATGTGTGTATATATATGTACACACACACATATATATATATATGTATATATAAATATATATGTGTGTATATATATGTATATACACACATATGTATATATATGTACATGTATATATATATGTGTGTGTATATATATATATATATACACATATATATATACATTGTATGTATATATATGTATATACATATACATATGTATACATTACTGAAGTATTTTTTTTAAATATGGCTTGCTTACATTTTACAATATAAAGTGCAAGTGTTACATACTATGTACATTAAAGTTCAAAAGGATTTTACATTTTCCATTAAAATGGAATTTTATCAAATGACGAAGTTTTTTTTTCCTTTTTTTTTTACTGGGACAGAAGTGTAAAAGGAGGAGAGAGGTGGGGAGGGGGGTTCACAAAAATAAACAATAAATGATGAGCAATAATCTACGTCTAAATCTGCTTAAAGAAAGAGAGAAAAGCACAAAAAAACAAAACCAATTTATCACTGTGCCAACAACATGAGAACTAACAATTTTTGTTGAGAAACACCCAGTAATAATTCATAGTGCATTTAGTGTGAACCACAGCCTCCAGGTGGAAGGTGAGGTGTGATGACGTGAGTGTGATGTTATCAGAACCCTCGTGTCTGGAGAAACCGAGTTCTGAGTGGGAGTGAATTTGGTCTGCTATAAACTATCATTGATGGTTTATAAAGCCACATCAGACGCAATCTGTTGAGTCTACGTACCCTTATCGGAGACTCTTTTGGATACGAGATGTCTGGGAGTCCATGGACCCCGCGGTACTGAAGTCCGTAGAGAAACCGGAGTATGACCAGGTCAGTCCAGAGTTGTCTCCAGGTCACGACAAACAGGTGGACTTGTTTTGCGTCTATGGAAGGACTCTTAGGGAGTCGGAGCTGGTTCAGCTTTATTCTGAAGGAACCGTTTGCGGTGTCAGCTGTAGCGTACAACAGGTTTTGACAGCTTGTCAAAAGATGCGATGGGAGCAGAGTTTCCCTCCGATGGCCAGTCAGAGTTGGGCTCAACTGAATCACTCAGGAAGTGATGCTGTTTAAATAATGGCCGTATTTTGGTTTACTGACAAATCAGAACTTGCCCTGTAAAGGGGTTTGCCAACAACTTCAGATACACACCTCCCTCAGATATAAAGATGCTGATTTTGTGGATAAGAAAATATATGTGCAGTGACGTTAATTATAACTTGCGTCATGGAGATATGGTGAGTGTGTCTTGTCCAGTCAGTGCGCTGATTAAATATATGGGTCATATATTTCATTTCATCCTTATTCATCTTTCAATGTAATATTAATTTCAACTTCAGTAATTTAATCAGAGATAAATCAAAACATTTCATTTAATCATAAGTAAATTTATTACATGTATTTCATTACATGATTAGTTACTCATATTGTTCATTTCATTATATGATTTAATTATGAAAGTTCATCCTTCAGTCTTAGATAAGAGGAAACTGGAGAGAGACCTTGGTCAAGCAACAGTATCTTTCTTGCAGATTAAAGGCACCAGTTAAGACTTATGTCTCCATATGGCCAGATACTCAAGAGGTCACTCTGTAGGTGGAAAATTGACCATTTCTGGAGGCTACACCAGGCCACCACAGACCTGCACCCAAAGACGTGTGGAAGATTGAGTTCCAAGCCCTACAGATCCATGGGTCACCCCGAAGCACAGGAACCCCAGCAAGACGGCCACCAGAGAAGCCCCAACCCCTCTCCCTAGAGGCACAGAGGATTATCCCGGGGGCCACAATCAGCATCCACCAGAGCCCTGGGAGATAACTGCAAGCCCCCAGGCCTGCCCATATTCGCCCACTTCCAAGCTGGCCAAGCTCAGAACACAACAGCCCAGGACCCAAGGGCGACCAACCCCTGCCAGGGACCCGACCAGGCAACCACCGGGAGCGACCCAAAAGGTCCCAAAAAAACTTCCTACCCCCAACACGAGAGCTGCAGATATGCATGCAGACAGAGGCACCTCCCACCATAGAAAAGGTGGCAGGGGAAGGGGTAGACGGAGATGCTGTTGCACCAAAAGATGTCCTATGGAGGGGAAGAGTCCAAGATCTCACCTGACATATACCGTCACACGCTCCTTCCCTCATGCTCACACATACACATATGACCTAAAGACATATAAGAATGTACGTCATACAACCACTCATGCTCCCCATACACACTCTACTCACTCTGGCCCCGGTACTGCTGCACATAGGGCACAACTATTCCGCGACACCAGAGCTAGCCCCATTCTGCTGGGGTAATGATGAGCAGGTACCCCCACCCAACGTAGAGCAAAGCGACATACCACCGCAGCGCAGGCATCATCTGGCCTACACCAGCTGATACCACCACACAACCCCACTTACCCCCAGAACCCCCAGTGTCTAGGTGCAGCTTAAAATTGCACCTGGGGTAAGGCTGAGAGATCCCACCAGGTCCTGCTGAGTGTGCTCACTTCCAAGGCCCTAAGTGAGCATTTGCATGGAATCATGTTGGTGGAAGTGTTTAATGTGCAAATTAAAATTGGGGTGCAAGCAGCCATGGGACTGCAGAAAGGGGAAGCATATCCACACCCCCTGACTTACCCACACCCCTATGTCTAGGCCCTATGTGCATGTTTGTGTGGTGATGTGAAGGAGCAAGACGAGGAAAATGTCTGAGGATGGGGAGGAATGGCGGAAGCCAGCTCCCCAATAGGCACCCCCATTTCCAAAATCCACCCGAGACTCAAGTCTCCATCCGGGGTCCAAAGTAGCAGCATTGCAGAGCCCCACAAAGTCTGAGGCCACTTATCCAGCCTCACAGCAGAGAATCTACTCCCATCCCCACATTTGATCAACATCCAGACTACGAAAGACATGGACACCCAGGTAAAGTTGGATCCTCCTCCTCCCGGCCATCCTCATCCCTGAGATAAAGCAGAAGTGTTCTTGCCAGTACAGGGGGAACCAAGATTTACCCGTGGCCCTCAAGCCAGGGCCAGGCATTGCCGCATGCTCCCGCCTTCTTGCCGGCAGCATACAAGCCAGGACCCAATCCCCAGGCCAGCTCAGATGCCCATCTGGGGACGACCGTTCCCACACCCCTAGCCACCATGCCCTCACCCAGTCCCATCCAGGGGTGATACAGCTATCAGGCCACCGTCAAAACCTCCCAAGGCCCCACACACGGCCTCCAGATGCCCACCCAAGCGCCACCAGAGTGGGGCAGCAGTCGATGCATATGGCAGTCAGATCCATGTGAACCAAATTGGTTTCAATCAGGACATCATTCAGGTTTCTCTCAAAGGGACAGTCACAGCTCCTAAAATGTCCGCTTTAGATGATTTAATAAAACTGTACTTCAGACTTTCATTCAGCAACAAAGAAATACTTATGATTTTAGCACACAGCCTTAAGTGTTTGAACTGTAAAAAGAATTTGTTCAGGAGGAAGAATCAGTCAGTCTTGGAAGAAGTGCTAGCCAAGAAATGACCAGCAGACAGATGCAAGGCTATCATAACTTGGATTTGTGGTGTCACAAGAATACTATAAGACTCATAATAAAATTAGTTGACTCGCAAAGTGTGGAACTGAGACGAGCTAGACGGTTGAGAGGACCAAATGCACTTTGGCACGTGGACGGCTACTGATAAACTAAAACCCTATGGCGTTGCTATCAGTGGTTGTATAGTTGGTTTTAGTTGCTATGTTTTATGCATGGAGGCTTATACCACAAACAGTAACCCTAAATTGATTGCAAGATATTTTCTAAAAACAGTTTCAAGCATCAATGGATGTCCAGAAAGGATATGTGCTGACAGGCACAGAAAATGGTTGTGTGGTTTTGCCATAGAAAATCTGCAATTGTTTGACATTGGAGATTTTCTGGACAAAAACTTGATCCAATTCTGCTTTCTTAATCTTTTTCAGGTGAAAGTGTGTATTCGTGCTCTGCAAGGTCTCAGTTTCAAAGGTAGAAAATTTAAGTGTTCTGGTAGTTTGATTAAAATAATTAAAGGTCTTTAAGTAACAGTTTTATTTCCAAACCACTTTGATGGATTTTTTTTTATGCTGAGACACAACTTAACCTTTCTCAGCACATATGCATAGGGGTTTTAGTGCCAACTGGATGGATAGTTTGGAGTGCACTTGAGAAGTCAAAAAACCAGATTTTTACAGAACTTTTTTGCATCTCAAGGTGGGCCAGTGCCCAGTGCTGCAGGTAGATGAGAGTGTCCTCCACCCCTATGTTTCATTTATATGCAAACTGCAGTGGTTGTACATCCGGGCTCACGATGGAGCGTAGATGGGTGATGACGAGTCTCTCCATGGCCTTCATCAGGTTGGAGGTCAATGTGACTAGTCTGTAGTGGTCTGGTTCTCGGGGATGTAATGTTTTGGGAACTGGAACCACACAGGAGGTCTTCCACAGGATGGGTACCTGCTCCAGACGAAGGTTCAGGTTGAACTTGTGCGTGACCACTTCACAAAGCTGGTCAGAACAGTCTTTGAGCAGTCTGGGGCTGATCCTGTCTGGACCTGCTTCTTTCCTGGTCTTAAGCTGACTCAGTTCTCTCCTCACCTCATCACAGTTTCTTCCCCTCTGCTGTTGGACTCATGAACGACAGTCCTAGGTCTGCCCACTCCAGTCGCTTGACCCAGTCTCCTGACCCTGTGTTGTGTTTGTACCTGAACCGATCCACTCTGATTAGAACCTACACTGTCTTGTATGTAGCAGCCATTTCTCTAAGTATTGCCCCTTTATATTATTATTTTATCATGATTATATTCTTACTTCCTATAATTTCCTATCTCTTATTTTTATCTTCCTCTTTTGGACCAAGTACCGCAGCAATTTCCTAATGTGATTCTTACACACATGGCGATGAGAGGGGGGAGAGAGGGAGGATGTGGTGTTGTGGGGGGTTGATTGTGGGTCGAGAAGGTGTGGAGCAGTGCGACTTTAGCGGATGGGGGAGATAAGCTGACAGGTGGTGATGTCTGTTGCAGATGGGGTGGAGTTAAACCTGTTAGATTAAGCTCGTTGGCCCAGTTTTAATCCCTGTCGACTGTCCCACTGACCCCACTCCTCCCACCATATCTAGAGTTGTTTCTAAGACCACTCCACTCCTCGAGTTTGTTCTGCCTCAGCTGATTCTCCAACTTCTTCTTGTAGCTGGTTTTTATCTGATCTTGTGTTGTTATATCATCCTGTAAAGTTAGTTTTTCTCATTAAATTTAGCCGATCACAGTCTTTAATTTGGTTGATGTACGGCAAGCCACATGTAAACATTTATTCATATATGGAAAATACA